TTAAAATAAGCACAGTGACATCACCAATAAAAAAGACTGTTTTTGTGGTTGACCTGAGTAACATCCAGACTTGTGGAGAATCTGAGCCAAGTGGAGGGGTTGCGCCGGGGAGCAAGACCCCACTTTCTCTGGAGACGAATCTGGAATTAAGGAGGGAAGTGAGGGAGGTCAGGGGAGGCCAGAGGAAACAAGGCGGGGATTGGATTACAGGACAGTGAACGAGACCACGTGCTCCCTTGGGGGTGGGCCTTTCAAAGGTGTATTAATGTAGATGCACAAAAACAATGACTGGACTTGCTTAAAACAAAGATAAATCTTTTCCTAAAAACTTCCATGCCTGGGGGATGACCACCCGCTATGACATACCTAGAAGAAACTTCTGATCAGATCTTTTTCATCCTCATTGTGCGCCCACACGTACAGTGAATGAGCAGGCGGAATTTAATGTTGACGTGACGGTTGGTGGTCCTCAGAGTTCTCGGTGTACACACTTTTCCCTGGGGACGGCATCAAATTCAATGGCTTCCACCACGTCTGAAATCAGAAAAGCGGTGTTCCGGTGTTTGCGTTGCCTGTCACTACCAGAACCGATAAGTGGAGACAAGGATAGAACCTTTATAGGTGCTTTATTCACCTGCAAAACCATCTTAACATTTCATCCCAAGCCAACCTTTTTATAAGGAGAAGAAAGGGTGGGTAAGGAGCTTGAAAAAATGTTAATTAGATAGAAGGTTAGATAAGGAGTTTAGAAAAAGGGTTCACTGGGTGAATTGCATCCGGGCAGCAATTTTTTTAGTATTTCTTTATTGTGGATCAACAACTCTTTATCTGCATCGCAGACGTACCCTCCCCGGGGCTCAGATACTGTCTCCATGGCTTACAGACCCCCTGGCACACAAAGGTTAAATTGCTAGTCGCCCTCCTAGAGTCAAACATTCCAGTTTCCAGAATAACTGCTTTCCACCCGCATTAATCACTTAAGCCCATCAACTAAGGCTGAAATCTTCAACTCCTGAGTTCGCCTATCCATTCTCCAGAATCTGCTTCTGTCCATTCAGCTGTCTTCGGACAGCTCCGGTGTCCCCCAGCACCAAAGATGGTACCTGCCAACTCTGCTTCCCCCTCCTCTTCTCATGAGTGGCCTCCCCACCGAGCCCGTCACTCTCCGCCTGGCAGACTGCGGGGCAGCCCTGACTCCTGTGTAAGAAGCCTGCACTCAGGGGCCCCACATGGACGTGAAGGGCAGACTCCTAAGTCCTACATGCAGTAGGCCGGAGGCCACCCAGGCCGGTGCAGCCGGTGAAGTAAGGCACAGCCCCTGCTGGCGAGTGGAAGGGCGGCCCTCTGTGAGTTCGGTTGTTGGAGGGGCCCGGTGTGGCCCAGGGTGTCACAGGCGGCAGGCCCGCGGCCCCGTGTGTTCCTCTTACTCGGGTGGGGGCAGTGAAGACACCGAACTTCAGGGAACAGAGACAGATGCCCAGAGACAGCCTCCTCCAGCCACTGTCTTGCAGGTCGCACTTTGTACCCCCCACCCGCTCACTGGGAGTCTCGGGAGTGAACCCAGGCTTTAGACAGGAATCTGTGTTTCCATTTTCCCCAGCCTCAAACTGGGACTAGACATTGGTTTCTACCACAGTGCCTTCTCTTCCTCATGAGCATAGATTTTAGTAACGATAAAAGTAGTGAACAGACCTTGAACTTTTATCCTGACCCAGGCAGCCTTAAAGCCGTATCTGGACTCTTCATAATGTTAGCGGCAGAAAAACGGCACCAGGTGGTAACCGCGGTTCAGCAGCCGCGGTTCTGGAGTTCCGGACAAGGGAAGGCTTCAGGGCCAAGACTCACAAAACAAGAGAACATTTGCTTAGAAAGCCACGGAGGGAGAAGCAGGGAGTCGAAGAGGAAATGGGCGCAGGAAACAAGTTACAGCAAAAGAAGGGGCCTTGGAGCTTAGGAGTTGGGGAGAGAGATATGGGCCTCAAGGGAGGAGACAAGACAGAGGGAGGAGAGGTTCAGGTGTGCTGGGGGGCAGCTGTGTGTGTTTGTTGGGGGGGGAGAGAAAGCCCCTGTGGAAAGGAGGAGGGGACAGGTGCTGGCATGCTCCTTAGAGAGATCCTGGCTGGGTCCTCCATCCTGAGGGCTTTTATCTGAGGTCTCAGGGGAGCATCTCAGTAGAATATTCATCAGCTTTCTGGGTGCGGCTCCTCAGAGTTGTGATCTCCTCCACTGATTGGCCGGCACCGAAGGTCATTGGTCATCAGCCTCAGCATCCCTCTGCCTGGCTTTGCTGCTTCTCTGGGCCTGGAGCAGAACCACAGCTGAGGCCTAGGCACCTCCAGGGGTTAATACTCAAGGGAGTGGTTGCGCCAAGGCTTGTGGTTTGGGCCCTGCTCAGCACCGGGGCCCCTTCCCGAGTGACGCACTGCACTGGGCCCATCGTTCTGCTCTGCTCCTGCCTGACTGCCTACAGCCACAATGCCCTGAGTGCTGCACTTAGGTTTACTTTACTGGGCTCCCGCAGACTTTGGTGTCAAGTTCTAAGTCCTCTTCATAAAACTGAGTCCTTCCTGACCTTGGGCCACACACCCCAGCCTTGTCCTAGCTTCCCTGCCCTCCCGGAAGACCAGCCCCTATACTGTCAATGTAAGAAACGTGCAGGCCTGCAGGGAATTTTTGTAAGGCTTCATTTGAGCCAAACTGACCACACATGACAGGGAGCAAGATCTCAAATCATCTGGAGGGAATGTCGGGGAGCTGGCATGAAGGTGGGAGGAGCAAGGTGGGGATTGGATTACAGGATAGTTAAGAAGATTAGGGGTATTTGAGGGGTATTACATCTGGCATTTCAAAGGTGTGTTAACTTAGATGCACAAGAAAATGACTTAAAACCTTTCAGCAAAGAAGTTATAGGCCTGGAACATGACCACCCACCCACCCTGACCTGCTCGGTTAGGAATTTACAATTAGATCCCCTTTGAGGCTGCTTTCCATAGAACCCCCCTTTCACCCACAACTCCAGTCCCGTGCCTTGGCTTGGTCAGCACTGTGCTCTCGGAGAACTAGTTCAGGCCCCACCTGCTCGAGAAAGCCTCTCTAACCTAGCACCCTCTGCGTAGACAGCACTCAGCCACGTTGAAGAGCTACCCTGCACAGCTGCTGACTTGCCTGCGCCCACTCTAGAAGCAGGTTTCTGAAGTAAGACTGGACTGGATGCTGTGTTTCTTCACATGTCCCGGGTGCCTGGCTTTGTAGGGGCAAACCGTGAATGCATGAGAAGACAGTCTTGTGGGTATGAATTTTGTAAATTGAGATCAGTGTTCCAATTTACACCAGAACTTGACTCAAGGTTGAAGATGAGCCCTAAGCAAACTGCTCCTGGGTGCATGATGCTCTCCTACCCCCATCAACATCTGCGCATTCACGTGTTTAAACATTCTTTACGTGGATAACAGCCACAAAATCCTATCCCCCAGTTCTTCAGTTTCCCGGAATTTTTTAAAGAATCTGCAGCAGCAGCAGCAGCTGATCCTTGGTCTATTTCAGATAAGATAATCCTGGTCAGTTATTGTGTTCCCGAGCTCAGAGATGACGGAAATCGATGTTTCCTGAGTGTAACTTGATCAAGATTGTAGAAATAACTTCAGCTCCCTGCAGCACACAGTTCTTTCTTCTCAGAAAACATTCCCTTGTGCTGAGTGATCATTTTGCTTGAAAAATATATACAAAAACAAACAAAAAAGATGATGGCACACGGTGTAAAAGTGTTCTAAACAGTTTAAATCGCTTTAATGGTTCGGGTGTGTATACTCTAAAAATATGCATTGGAATCAACTTATATGTTTAAAATGGCTAAACATACGTTTCCAAAGTTTACAGGTGTCTGCTTGTGGAAGCTGAAGGGAAGGAGCTACCCTAACAGCGGAGGGTCTCTAACCAGGGTTGGTAATTAGCCCGGAGACTGTGGGCTAATCCTGGCTCCGACCTCCCGGCAGCTCCCCCTGCAGGAGTGGCTGGCTCCCTGCAGTCCTCCAGACCTCAGCTGGTCCGCCCTCCTCCCAGGCCCCTTCTCTCACCTGCTGTTGGCCCACACACATGCAGGGAAAAGCCCTGAGACCGAAAATCGGCCTCTGTGCGGGAGGACTGGGAAAGGGTGATGATGCGGGCCACTCCAGTCTGGCACCTAACAGAGTTTGTTAAGGGACATTTATACATAAGGCAAGTCTTGGGCAGTGGAAAGATGAGGTGGCTATTCTCTATGCCACCTGGCAGTTGCTGAAGAATTATATAGAACAGGGCAGGATGGATGGGGGTGGGGGAGGGTACCGGTGTCAGATAAGGGAAGCCAAGAACCAGCACACTGTGGGGCGGGGGGAGAGGGTCGATCAGACCTCTGTGAGGGGCCTTCAGGGACCAGCTTCTGTTCTGCTCCGACCTAGCTCTCTGGTCGGGCCACGGTCACATCATGGCACAGTCCCTCCTCCACACCTTGGTGGTAAAAACAGTCACTTCTGCTCCACCACTCCCTTCCTTCAGTGTCACCAACTGAAAACCCACTTTTTATTACTGGGGACGCCTCTGTTGCCAGACCCCCTGTTCAACAGGAGGGAGAGGCTGGCCAGTGTCCCCCAGGGATGCAGCCCAGGGCCCTGGAGGGGTGTGGACAGGCATTGACCAGTGGGGTGTGAAGGAGCCCACTCCACAGTCCGTCAGACACCCATCTGCGCTCACGCTCATGTAGCTGCTCTCACCGAGCCAGCTTCCAGCCTCGGGGCGACCATTTTCCTTTCTCAGCCTCCTCTTTGTGAGTAGGTGTCAGCCAGAGGCAAAAAGACATGATGTGACCAAAACGGGAGCTCCTTCCTCCCCTTGAAGAAGCACAGATGGCGTTCAGGTACAACGGCTGCAGCCAACATTCCCATGCATGTCCCCCAGGAGGTGACTCACAGCAGTGAAGGTGTTAGTGAAGCTTCCGCTAGCTAAGACTCGGTTTTGTATTTCAGATGACCTTGAGGAAGGAATACCACACTGACCTGGGATTCACCACAAAGCGCTTTAACCCAAAGGTAAGCTGCCCTAATTCATGAAGTATTTATTAGCAACTCGGACGAATGTATTTTATAAAGAGTAAGAATATTACCCCTGGCTGGTGCAGCTCAGTGGATTGAGTGGCAGCCTGTGAACTAAAAGGTGGTTGGTTCAATTCCCAGTCAGGGCACATATCTAGGTTGCAGGCCAGGTCCCCAGTTGGGGGCGTGTGAGAAGCAACCAATTGATGTATCTCTCACACATCAATGTTTCTCTTCTCTCTTTCTCTCCCCCCTTCCCCTCAATAAAAATAAATAAATGACACCTTTAAAGAGTGAGAATATTAATATATAGTGACCTGAAAGTTTGTGGTTTTTCTTCCTGCCTTTATTTCCTATTTGTTTTCAAGAACTGAGAAACAGAATCAGTTAGGCAGGAATGCAAGAGTTTACTCCTTCTGCAGAGCTGCCTTTAAAACCGTGCACACAGCCCTCACTCCTCCTCCCGTGGCCCTGGGAGGGACTTTCGCAGCTCCCTTTGGTAGCCCTCCCTACACCCCAGAGTCCTTAGAATGATTCACTCTCAAATGCCAACCCGTTCCCCTTCCCGTCAGCTGGTGACATTTCTTGTTAGCAGACCAGCACAGCATGAGGCCAACTCCGGAAGCTGCCTTACACAGAGGCGTTCTGGAAAGCACAGAGCAAGGCCGTGCATGCCACAGGCATCATCAGCGTCCCTGCAATTTTTTTTAATCCTCACCTGAAGACATGCTTTATTGATTTTAGAGAGAGGGGGAAAGGGAGGAAGAGAGGGAGAGAGAAACAGTGATGTGAGAGAGAAACTGATTGGTTGCCTCAGATGTGTCCCAGCCGGGAACCAAACCCGAAACCTAGGCAACCCAGGATGATGCTCCACCCAAGGAAGACACAGCAGCCAGGGCCTCCCCAGGATTCTGACCAGCCAGGCCATTGGTTTGCCAGTTTCCTTTCCCCCGTCCTCAAGAAAAGAGTAAACGGAAAACACAGAAATTGGAGCCAGATGAACTTCCACGTGCCGGGCTAAGCTGGGAGGCAGCAACAGGGTGGAGGGAGGCCAGCCCAGGTTCTCCCTGTGTGCTGCACAGTCCAAGTGGCCAGAGAGATGAGCCCTCGGCAGCCAGCACTGAGGTGTCCCAGGTGGCAGAGGGCGGGGAGGCCATGTCCTCGGCCTGGTGCTTTGGGGGAAGTGCTTGCCTGTGTTCAGAAATAAGTCCTAGCAAGACAGTACTATACTCTGACTTTGCTGATTAACCTAAGAACTAAAACTGTTCTTTTTCTTCCTAAGATTTTTATTTATTCATTTATTTAGACAGAGGGCAAGGGAGGGAGAGAGGAAGAGAAACATCAATGTGTGGTTACCTTTTAAGCCCCGCACTGGGACCTGGCCCGCAACCCAGGCATGTGCCCTGACTAGGAATCGAACTGGCGATCCTACTGCCCACCCTTTGGTTCACAGGCCAGTACTCATTCCACTGAGTTACACCAGCCAGGGTTAAAATTTATCTTAGAGCATAAGGAAAATGCCTTTAATTGCAAACTGAAAGTGTTATCTTAAAGCTAAAGGGAAAATAATTACTAGATTATTTTGACCAGCAATGTTTCTCTGAAAAGCACACCCAGCTAATTGAAATGCTCCATTTCATGGAGTGAAAAGAGTCCTTTCATCTTCAGACAACTGCTTTGATTCTGTGGAGCTCTTTTGGGGGAAAGAAAGGGAAGGAAAACAGAAAAGGGGCGACACCTGTTATTTTCCTTCTTCCCTGAAAACAGCTTTGACATCAAAGGATGTGCCAGCCCGTCTCCTGCCTTTGACAAGCCTCTTCCTGATGCCCTTCACCTCTTTTTCTGTGTTGCACCATATATTAGGATTTTAATGTACTAGGGAAATGTCCTCTCTCTCAAAACTGGCACTCGCAGGAAGAAAAGTTGCCCATTGGAAAGCCAATAAGCAGATCCAATTTTAAAGACTGGTTGTTTCCTTGGGGGCTTTTCTTTAAGGGTTTTTTTTTTTTTTGGTTGTTCTTTTAACTGAGACTCCACCCAACTGAAACAACTGAAAAAGTGGAAAGAACTCAATAGCTCAACCAACCGCATTATCACAGGAGTTTGTAACATGGGGCCCATAGATGGGTCTGAGTGGGGCCATGACTAGGGGCCCATGAACTTCCTCCAATTCCAGGCCCAGTGTTGATGGGATGCCCAAAGGCACATTTTGTTCTGGGAATACGTGACCTTTTTAAAAGGGTGGAGAAACACTGTCCTGGAAATGAGTCATACATCTGCTGTCCACTTGGTGCATCAGCATCCAGCTATGGATGTCCCTGGATGGGACATGTGGAAGGGGATCCCAGAACACTCAGTGCGGGGACACTTAGAGCAAATGCAGACGAACGTACCTCGGCCACGCAGATCGTGGGATTAGTCCCATCCAGTTGGTCTCGGCCTCCACTGCGTCCGGATTAGAGCTTGGACGTGAGTCACGGGGTTCGAGCAGAGCTAGAGCTCTGGCATCAGACAAACCGGAGCTCAACTCCTGGCTTCCCGCTCCCTAGTGTGAGACATGGAGAGCTTTCCTCTTTAAACTTCAGTATCTCAATCTGTAAAATTAAAATAAGACCAAGTTCATAAGGCAGAACAAAGATGCTGCCATTTGTGTTAATAGGAACCAGTTTCACCTTCTGGTTCAAGTTAGTAAGCTGGAGGCCCATGGAGCATCACACTGGTCCACAGCAGACAGTCGGCGCCCACTGTCCCAGAGGTTGGATCCAGTGCTGTGTCTTTGGAAGAGGCCCAGCATATTTTATAAGGGCACCCTCAGCAAGCAGTTTACATGACAGCAAAGAGCGAAGGACTGTGTTAGCTTTCAGCTGTGAGCACAAAACTCCCTTTCTATGAAGCAAAGGCCCCAGCTCTGTTGATACCACCGATACCTGCCGGACACAAGGAACTACTCACTCGTGTGCGTCTGTGTGTTGGGGTGGGTGGGGAGTGAGAAGGAACCAATTGATTTAATTCTAAAATCTTCATTTCAGGATGGTAAGGAGGAACCTCTGGGTGAGTGTTTCGCTCAAGTGCTTTTCAAGAAGGAGAAGCCCAGACCGACGGTCAACGTCACCTGTGAACGATTCCTGGAGAAGAGCCGGCAACAACGGGAGGATTACCTGCTTTACAAACACCTGAAGCAGCTTAAAGTCCCCCTGGGGGCAGTCAGCATACCCGGTATGAACCAACGTCTGGAATTTCTATATTCGGCAATGTTCGTGATTACAGAATCTTTAAAAGAATCATCATTTAAGTTTTTATCCCCCCAAGGGCATTTTAATGCAACTATAAAATGTGGTACCCCTCATTATTTGACCAAAACTCAGAAGTATCGTTTTCCTGTTCTTCACCTCCAGTACAATGTAGGGTCTGTGCCATTTTTATCTCCTCTGAGGAGGGAAAGACCAGAGATGACTCTCTAAGGAATTGGTATAAGTCCTTGCAACAAGACACTCACATAGGGATGCACTCTCCCAGGTAGAGTCCAGAACCTGAGATGCCATTTCTAGAGGTCTCTGGCGGTGGCTTTGGAAGCTTGAGGTGACGAGACACCAGCCAGGGCCTCCACTGTGCCCATCAGGCCGTCCCTGCCAGGCCTGAGTGAGCCGACCAACCGTCTCCAGGCCTCACTAGGAGTCTGCAGTGGAGTCAAGTTTATCTTATTTTAGGGCAACAGCTAATGGGCAGTGGTGCCACCTCTAATCAGGAGCGAGCCCCGCCGGCCGCTGATGTGAAGCAGAGCTCATTTGTCTGGGCACTCAGCGGTGTGCGGGCAGCAGCGGGAACTCGGCACTTACTGGCAAATTCAATTTTCAAAACCACAAAAGTCATCTCTGGACTTGCACTTGGGCATGAAGCGTGACATCTGACCACGGCTGTTCCCTCGCTCGCCCAGAGACTGTGACGGACTCGTGTCAGCGTGGGAGGCCTGTGGTCTCCACTCTGAACATTCCATCCCAATGGGGCGAGCGTCTGGGCCCCCTCAGTTTACGGGACTCGGTGTTCTCAAAACCTGGAGCGACCACTCAGATTGAATCCTGTTCCGAATGACTGAGGAACAACTCAGATCCTATGTTACAGAATCTGTTTATATGTAGCACTGCTTGAAGTAAGTGGGCTAATGGCAAATACCTAGAATATATAGTTATTTAGGATGTTTTCCCCTCCTGTTAGCATTAGTTGGGGAAATGCTAGGACATATAGGGTTTTATATGTCCTCTTTAAAACACAAATTTTAGAAATTGTATAGGACCTTTTCTTTGAAGATTTGCCACAAAATCCCTACATTTTGGACACTTTTTTTCAAAAAGATTTTAATTTATTTTTGAGAGGGGAAGGGAGAGAGATGGAGAGGAGGAGAAACATCCATGTGTGGTTGCCTCTCTTGTGCTCCCTACTGAAGGCCTGGCCTGCAACCCAGGCACGTGCCCTGACTGGGAATTGAACCAGTGATCCTTTGATTCACAGGCCCATGCTCAATCCACTGAGCCACACAAGCCAGGGCAAATTATGGACACTTTTTAAAAGTGCAGGTTAACTGGTTCGTGTTTAGTTAATAAATCCTACATGCCCACAAGGATCGTTCTACTATAATCTAACAATGTGGCTACAACAAAGCTTCAAAAATTGTTATTAATAGAGGGTACCTTTTCATCAACAAAACTTACAAGTTCTCTTGTCCCTTTAAATTCAGCAGAGATATTTAATGGTACTATTGATAGACTATGTACGTATATAAAATCATGAAAACTGATCATGTCCGGTTCCAGACAGAGTGAATGAAAACCATGGATTCTTGGAGTAGCCCACTCGGATCTCAGCAGATCCCACTCCGAGTGCGCGCAGGCGCACGGGCCTGGGGGCCTGTTTCCGGACGATTGACGAGCGGGATGAGCTGACCAGTCTCGGGACACCCTTGCTCTGCACTGTTTCTCCCCTAAAGAAGCGGTTGTCTGGGTTTTACTATGAGTCAAAGCTTCACTTTTTCTAACGAACTTGTAAGCTTCCTAGAGACGAGCCTAGGTGCGCACTGCACGCAAAGCGCCCAGCAGCTGCCCTTCCCCGAATCCAGCCAGAGCAGCGCCACCGCACTTTCAAAGGCCCTCCTTACTCACCGCCTCCAGTGCGACCCATTTCTCTCCGCTGCCAAAGGGTTTTCATCTCGCAAGTCCATGAACAATTATCTATGAATTACTTGCTAAAATTTGAGTTCCTAAAAGTCACAGGAGGTCATTTTTAATCACTGTCTCCCAACCTCCAGCGGTATCTCATACTTAGTAGGGTTTTTTTTCCCGCCAATGTTTGCTGAATTTAAAAGATTTCAGGCCCAAAACAAAAATTCTGCAGGAAAACCCCACTTGATTTCTTCACGTGTTCAAAAACAGCCACAGAGAGGCTGCCAACTCGTGCGTCAGAGAAGGACGAAGAGCCGGCAGGTTGGCGAAGCCCCTCGTAGGGAACGTCGACCCCAAACCAGGGGGGAATGGGGGCTGGGAGGCGTTCTGATCTAATTATAAAATGCTTCTAACTAACAAGATTTTAGACTGTGTTTGAGTATCACTTTTTATAACACAGCAAATAGCCTTGACCCTGTTTTACGGCAGCTCTGCTTTACGGCAGCTCTGCTCGAGGCGTGCGCGTCTCTGCGAGACGGAGAAACAGACCGACGTGCTGCTGCGGGGCTTTGCTGTGAGAGGGCCCTGCAGTGACCCAGCTCTTACTTAATTACTGCGATTTTTGTGCCCCAAAGGCTTAATGCAAACGCTTTGTTTTTTGTTTCTGTGCTCTCAGACAGTCACGGACACATCGATCCCGCTCTGAGACCCGTGTGGGATCTGGCCTTCCTTGGCGGCTCGTACGTGATGTGGGAAAAGACAACGCACGTTTTACGATACAACTTGGCACAGCTCACCGGTGTGCAGCAGTGGGTAAGGAAACCGGAAACTTCGCTTGTGCCTCCGGAGAGGCAGCCAATGCCGTGTGCTTAGACTGAATTACTGTGGATGTGTAACTTCACGGCAGGAGCTTGAGCTGCCCTTCATTCATTCAATACATCTTTGCACTGGGCCAGGCATCGTGTTAGGGACGGATAGAGCCATGAACAAAAAATGCAGTGCAGTTGCCGTCGTCGAGATTAATTGCAGTGAGGGAAGATAGGAAAGACGGTGAACTAATAAACAAGTACAGATGTCTCAGTTGGTGATCAGTGCTATGCAGAAAAATTAAGTAGGGAAAAGGGAATGCGGGGTGCTGACAGAATTGCTACTACGATGGTCTAAAGTAAGCCCCCTCCCATTTGAGCAGAAGTGACATTGGAGCAGAGGTCCCAGGGAGGGGAGAGGCAGAAGAGGGCTCCGGGCAGAGGGAGCGGAGGCAGCGGGGTGGCTGACGGGCGGGAGAAATATCAGTGCAGCTGGTGTGGCGGGAACAGGGGCAAGAGTGCGGGAGGGACCAGTTCAGGGAACGCTGGAGGCCATCAGAGGAGCCTCTCCTGCCCACTGGGGGTTTCGCAGAGGAGGGGCATGATTTGACTTACAGCAGGATCGGTCTGGCTGCTTTCCTCAGAACTGACTGCCGAGACGCAGGGGAGGCAGGAAGACCAGCGAAGCACGGCCACAGTCCAGACGAGGCCTGGCAGGAGCTGGGACCCTGGGTGGCAGGAGTGGAGACAGGGAGCATATCGGACTCAGGTTGCATTTTGAAGATAGACTGAGAGTGTCTGCTTATGGGTTGCATGTGGGCAGTAGAGGATGAGAAAACTCAAGGATGATTTATAGAATCTTGGCCTGAGTTACCAGAAAGGGAGATTTCATTCACTGATTGGAGACCACTTCAGAAAAACAAATTTGGGGAGGAATCAGCTTGATTTGGGGCATACTAAGTTCTATATCCAAGTAAGGATGTAATATATAGTCATCTGTACACAAGGGTCTGAGTACAGGGGAGAGATCTGGACTCGAATCATCACCGTGCAGGTGGTTTTTAAAGCCACAAGGCCAGGTGAGACAACAGAGTGAGTGCTGTAGAGAAAAGACGGACCAGGTAAGGACTGAGTTCTGGAACACGCCCAACTTCAGAGGCGGGAGATTGAAAACAAAGCGTTTCAAGGATGAGGGTTGACTCACTGCATCTAAAGCTGACGAGTCAAGGAGATAAAGACTGAGAATCACCCATTTGATGAAAGCAGCTGGAAGTCCCGGGGGCCATCTCCCTGGCACAACGGGGCAAGGGCCCGATGTGGGTAAGTTCAGGGGAGAGGAGGAGCAGAGCAGGTGGACGCTCCATCTCTTTCCAGAATGTTGGCTGTCGCAGGGAGTAAAAGAGAGGGAGGGGCTGTAGCTGGAGGGTGTGTAAGCACAGGGTTGAAACAGAGTTTGTTTCTGATCGTATTTTCAGGTTGGGAGATTTAACAGCATAGTTACAGGTTGATGAGACAAATCTAGAAGAGGGGCCAAAGTCAGACTTGTAGGAATGAGAAGGAAGAACCGCTGGAATTAAGATCTTTGAGTAGGCTGGAGAGGAGAAGGTCAGCCCAGGAGATGAGCTCAGACAGGAATGCGGAGTGCTCACCTGCCGGGAAGGCAGAGACGAGGGGCCACCACGCCAGTAGGAGGGTGGATGTCACGGTGGTATTCTCAAATGGCTGCTTTCCTCAGAACTGACTGCCGAGACGCAGGGGAGGCAGGAAGACCAGCGAAGCGTGGCCATAGTCCAGACGAGGCCTGGTGGGAGCTCGGACCCAGGGTGGCAGCAGTGGAGACGGGGAGCGTATCGGACTCAGGTTGCATTTTGAAGATAGACATTTTGTAGAAGCTCTAGCTCCATGGCTTCTGTTTTCCTGGTGAAAAACCAGGAAAAGCCGTCAGCTGAGAGGCAGGAGGTTTGGGAGTGTGAGGACTTGCGCATGGAACCTCTATGGGCATTAATTTAGCTGGGCACCAGGCGCAATCAGCAGTGTGGTAGGTTTAACCACGCAAGTGTGACGCACAGAGAGACGGGCATTTCCAGTGTAACAAGATCGATTGCTCTGAGAGAGGCAAGCGGAGCCAACCACAAGGATAGCTTTCCACGACTCGACTTCTTTATGGATGCGTGGAGCAGTGCACTGACCCACGGCAGGATGGGGGCAAATATCCCAGAGGGCGAGGGTTTGCCCAGCCTCACATCGGCCTGAGCAATGCCCGTAGCACTTCAGGGCACCTTCCAAAGGCCACTTGTAAATCAGACAACTACACACGTACTCATCACAATGAACACATTTCTTTCCCTTCAAAGAGTACTTTTCAAAGAAAGTTACATTTGATTGATCATTGCTTTATGAGATAAAACTTGTTCCCTCTTTCTCTCTCTCATCCACCAAGATGATCATTTCCTTAATAAGAGGCTCTTCCCCAAACTGAGAAATTGGGGGAATTATTTTGTTTACAGAGTAGAAGATGGTGTCAAGATAATGAATGTGAGAGGAAAACTCAGCCAGAGCAGATCAACACAGAGAGAACAGAGAAAAAATTCGGGTCTTTCAAGGCCAGTGTTTTCCTTTCCGTTGCAGTTTTACAAGACACGTTGCCACACTCAGCACCAGGACACACGGCAGTTCAGAGCAGCCCCGTCTCTCTCAAGTTCTAGCCGGTCCTCCATCTGTCCATTAACACCCCTCAACCCACCGCCAAGTGGGAAAGTGGGAGCAATGCCGGGGTAGACAACAAAAATGCTGATTTTTTTTACATTGTGGGGTTTGGGTTTTAGATGAATAATAAATGAATATGCAGCTGACTTGCTGGGTCACCCAAGGCAAATTGCTTCATCTCTCAGGGCCTATTAAATGAGGATTAGCAAATTCACTGAAGTCACTGCAACTAACATAAATCTAAAGCACTGGTGAAATTGGGTAATTTGGTTTCAAAGTTAACACGCATTTTGGCTCTTAAAGAAAAGTATGCACATATTCCCAGATTTTCAAATTCTGCCATTCAGTGGCTACTAAAGATTCCCGTGATCTTTCGGCCACAAGCAAACCAAACAACGATTTTTAGAAAGTCGCCCAAGTGGGGAAATGTAGGCACTGCTGTCCTGGGAGACGAGGGGCCGATGGCAGAGCCGACAGAGCCTGACTGCCCAGCACGCACACCGGAGGTCCCCGGAGGTGCCCTGTGGCCCTGCGTCGCTCAGGAAAGTACAGGGATTGCAGTTTTCCCAGAAGGTTTCCGGGTGGGAATTACCATCTTGACACTCAGGGTTAAACTCATCTTTTAATGCAAGTGTGTAAGGAACTGCAGGCTTAGTAACTTCAAATGAACTAAGCTTGAGGGCTACGAAAGAGGGCTGAGTGCAGATACAACATAAGACCCGTCTTAACTGGCACAGTTACTGCCTTAGAACCCAACACAGATGTCACTCCCAGTGCCCCACGGATGACGACAAGGGCAGGGGAGATAGCTGCTGGCTAGAGGGAAAAAAATGGAGCAAGACTTTCCTTATACTCTGAGCCTTTAATGGGAACTGAGAAAAGCAAAACTGAACACTGTCCCAACTCTCATCAGTACCAGATGCTGTCAGCACCCCAGATGGTCCGCCCTGCAGCACACCACAGTCAGTTCGTCCAAGTCCCACCGCAACTGGAGGCCCCGCTGGCCAAGGGGACGCTACAAGGCCATCTTATTTATTCAGCCAAGATACCTATTTTTGATAGCATCTACCAATACCCTAAGCTTATTACTCTCTACTCAAACCACACTGATTCTGCAAGGGATCATTCTCTCTTGGGGGGATTGCGGGTAGGGCTGGGGGGTGGGTGGTAAGTGAAAGGGGACAAACAAAGCACTTCCATCCAGTCTGTCTCTCTAGGAAGATTAAAGTGCTGAGTTACCAGGAATGGTCGCAGTAAATCATCACCAGTTTGGACTATAGTGATTTGGCATTTGTGATGGTTTGAAGAGAAGCCAAGGAGATTATTTCTGAATAGTATTAAAAATAATGACTTCTTGGCAGAGCTCAATTTGGTGAGGACAGCCTGGCCCTGGAACACCTCGCCGGGCTGGGATGTGCAGCGTCCCCTCTGCGGTGTCCCCTCTGCGGTGTCCCCTCAGCTGTCTTCAATGAGCCCTGCGATTTGGTTTCATTGAAGGGGCTTCCTCCTGCAGGCGGAAGAATCTGCTAACCCGGACATGCAGGGGTCTCAGTGACTTTACTGAGGAAGGTCTTCATTAGGTGCCCAGGGTCTCCGGGCATCACGATAACCCAAGTTTTTGCTTTCCAAGTGGGTGACACCGTGTATTGAGCAGAGCAGTCTGTCAAATGCAGTTAGAATCTCACCCTGTTTCCAGCCCTGCCTCTTTTTTTTGCTAAAAATCTGGAGACGGCCATGATTTCTTTTAGAAACAGAATAAGAAGGCACTGACCCCCCAAAACCCTTAAGTAAAACAAGTTTTTAAAAATATATATTTTATTTATTTATTTTTAGAGAGAGGGGAAGGGAGGGAGAAAGAGTGGGAGAGAAACATCAATGTGTGGTTGCCTCTCACGCATCCCCTACTGGGGACCTGGCCTGCAACCCAGGCATGTGCCCTGACTGGGAATCAAACCAGCGACCCTTTGCTTCACAGGCCCATGCTCAATCCACTGAGCTACACCAGCCAGGGCTAAAACCAATTTTTTCATTACAGAAAAATACATGGTTACTAGGCCTTGAGAAATATTGCAGGCAGTGCAAAAGCCCGAGACAAAAATCACGCGACTCAGCAGCCTGCTCGAGTGGGCCGTCTCAGATAACGGTTCCTTCCAAGGCAAGATAGTTGCCACGTGAAGGTCAGGCCAGGCCCCATACACTCTGGAACCCAGCGATGCCTGATCGACCCTGGGGGCCTCCAGAAATGGTTTCTTTATCAGAGTCACCAAATTTTCTCACGAGGTCTCTGATTTTGCAGCTTGTGCCTCAGACACTGGCTCTGAGCGTTCACACGTGCGCTGCCGGGCAGGAGGGAGGGACGCCTGCCTACTGATGATGCAGAGGCACCGCGGAAAAGCAGTCAGTTTCTGATCGGTCCAGGGCCCTCTTGTACCTTCTCCCTCCAGCATCCTCCTCCCCTGCTGGAAATGTCATGGCTTGTAAACATCTCCATCGTTTTAAGCAAAACCTATTATCAAGTCCTGTTGTTTGCCTCGGCATTTTGATAATCTGTAATAGTCTAAACAGAAGCTGGATAGAGTAAAATTATAATCCAGGTTGAATTTTTATTTCTTCTCTTTCATTTTTACTAGAAAGAGAAAGAGATAAACACCCTAGCCTCCTCCTCACCCCCCAACAAAAAAAAAAAACAACCAAGGAAATGTCAAAAAAAAAAAAAGAAAAGAAAAGGAAATTGGTTTAGTCACTAGTGAAACTTACAGAAGTCACTGAACACGAGCAGTGAGGAAGACTGCCCGCTACCCTACAGACGGATACACAGGGCCCTGGGCTTCGATGCAATGTGGTAAAGCATGAAGCATGTAGGCAGAGGGGTCAGCAGGTCTGGGCATGAGTCCCCATGTGTCACTTCCTAGCTGTAACCTGAAGTTACCGCCCCTGTAAAGCCAGGCTTGTAATACACACTCTTGTAAGGCCGTCGGACTGACACGGAAACAGTGATAAAGTGCCCAGCACAGAACCCGGCCCAGGGGCACCCTGGGGGTACTGGTGGCCCTGCCCCTGTGTTACTGCCTGGCAGATCAAGGCTAACACAACGGCTTAAAGCACATGCACAGTGCCAGGGTTCCTAAGGTTGTCAGAAGATTCTCCCTATCCCCACGGACCTTAGCCTCCATCCAAAACCGCAAGTAGTAGAGAAAAAGTGATAGAAAGACATTCAACTCGACTTTCCTACAAGTGACCTAACAGTAATCTGTGACTTCCATGTCTTGATGTAGGATCCTTGATGAAGGGAACTGAGGCCCAACTCCAAGGGGAAGAAGGAGATTCAAGGCATTCATGCAGTTTATAAGATAAGCCTTGCAGATTCTGAGCTAATATAAACCTATTTATTACCCTCTTTTTTTTCCTTCCTCTAGAAAACGGATGATGACACAATTGACTTTGAGTATACTGTTCTGCTCCATGAATTTTCAACACAGGTAAAACACAAAATTAAATAAAGAACTGTTTTTACCAGGAGGTTTTGCAGATCATAATATTTCAGAACTCTTCTTTCCTAGGAAATCATCTCCTGTAGTATTCACTTGGTCTGGTACCCGGGCAAACCACTCAAGGTGAAGTCCTACTGCCAGGGACAGCAGACGTCAGACGAAGCCTCTGAAGCCGAGGAAGGATCCGCTGTGGCACCAACAGAGCTTAGTAATTTCTGAGAAAAAAAATCTACTTACCCCAAATTCTAAACGACATGACTGTAGCCTAAATCATTATTCTAGTAAAACAGCGAAGGTATAAGGCATTCCAATAATTCGGGGAAGACTATGATGCTCAAAAATGAAAAGATGTTAAGGTTTTTAAAAGATAATAAATGTATTTCAATGAAAGCAAATTGTAGAAAAAATGTTATTGGTTTAAAAGGAATTTTCCTATTTTTTATGATTTCAAGCAAAGTATTCTTTTATAACTTGATAGCTACTTTTAAATAAACGTTTATATCTCTAAATAAATTGTGTTAAATGTGTTTGTAGAGATTTGTCTACGTAGGTGAATTCTGGGCTAAGATGTAATTAAATGAACTCAATATTGTTTAATTTGTATTTTATAAATGCAGTGTCTTGCAAGTAAAGCAGAGAGTCTGCCAACAACATGTATTGAACAGAACGGTGATGTGACCAAAAGTATCGGGCTGGCCAAAAAGTCTCTTTCTTTTTCCCATAGGATGGCTCTAGTAGTTGCTGTAGACCCTGTCCAGCAGAGTCCGCCTGTTGTGGTTGATAAGCAATACACATTTGTTGCTTTAGACCAGGGCGAGGGAGTTTTAGCAAGAGCAAGCCGTAACAGTCTGTATGCACTTTCTAGGCCTGATTCCCAAGGAAAACTCGGTTTGAAGGTCTGGCTCCTGCCCACCACTTCGCATCTGTAGGTTTTCCATACGGAGCTGAGTCACATTTGCCAGGCCAAGACAAACTGGTCCCCTACAATTCCCCCTCACCCCCTTTTTTTTTGTTTTTTTGTTAAGGCTGTTGTGGTGATACATCCCACAAGACTTGCTACTTGCTGGTCTCTTTTGTGACCCTGGGCAAATAATTTGTAAATGCATCGTAATATGCAAAACATCATTAAAATCAGTAAACAACCAGTGGCTCCAGTGACCCACAGCCTCAGGTTGAGTCTATCAAACCAGTGTTTTGGGTTTAGTGAGCCAAGATTATCACTAAGGGTTTGAAGAATCTCCTGTTTAGTTAAGCATTGAATGTCCTGCAACTGTTAGTGTAACACCAGTTGCAATTTATTGATTCATCCCTTTAATTAGTAGGAAAAGCTCCTCTTAGGTGATGTTGAACATCACTCCAGGAATATTGGCTGGAGTTCCATCATAGTGGGGTGACACACAGTTTGGAGAAACCGGGATCATAGGTCAGCTGCTGACAGATGACTAGCGCATCCTGGCGTTCACCAATCCAGTTGAATGCCGATTCAACTGCAGAAAGTTGAGTCAGGATTTCTTGATAAATCTGGGCCTGTTGAAGAATTTCTAAAGTGCAGTTGGTTAAGGGAACATCAACAGTATGAGCAGTCTGAACTGACCCAATGAGGGCAGCGGTTGCCCTGGTCGCAGTAGCCGTGACAACTATAGCAGAAACGATAAATGTAATCCAAGTGCCAACAAACCGTGAGACTCTTCAAGAGGCCAGCGCATTGTTAAGTGCTGTTATGCCACAGGGATCTTCCCATTCTCTGGTTACATCAACTGGCATCCACATCTGAGTTTGTCTTCTAACTATATAAACTGTAGTGAACTTAACTGAGTAATATTGAGATGAGTAAGACGGTTGGCATATATGGAGCCTGTAAGGAACAGGCAAAGAATAAATTTTTGCTGATTCGTTAAAAAAAAAACTTGAGTTGTTCCTGGAATTGCCAAAAACAAGTAAGGGTGAGAAGTACAAACTGTGACCCAATCTTCTTTTAGAGGGTCAATTTGATAAAAACATCCTTGGACACCTTTAGGGTCATACACAATTCTTATATACAGATTCATTCTAGTAATAAAAGGCAAGCCCATTTTCCATGAGTTTTAATGCCAAGGGCTAGTGTGGTTGGGAGAAATAATTCTGGTAATAGGTGCCCCAGTACTGGGCCCCTCCCACCACATATTAGTATATGGGATTTCAGGCAGAGCTGAAACTATTGTTTTGTCGAACTTAGCCAGTACTTTCCAGTTAGCTCCCCAGTTCTCCACTACAAAAGGACTTTTGGGGAGAAAAGCAATAGTGGCATTTGGTCCTCTGCACAAAGACCAAGAGACTGAGTCTTTGTAGCTTATATCTAAAGTACAAGGAGGAATCGGAGAGGGATTGAGAGTATGATAGATCCTCTCCTGAGTATTCAGGCCAATTATAGTTGCTATGGAAAACTGATAGTAATTACTGTATTGCTTTTTGCTTACAGCATAAATTGCTCCTTTAAAGGAAAACACAAAGTGTCAATAAGAACAGAAAAATAAACTAGTAAATACTTAGTAACATAAGCTGCATTTTTTGGCACTAGAACCCAGTGCTTGTTTTCTTCTGGTTGGCCAGTGTCAACTGGTCTGCTAGCTGATCGATTTTCATCTCCAGGTAGCAGAGCTTGATGTCTGTTTTGTTCTAAAGCTTCACCCTTTTAGCTGGAAGCCAGACAGGACCTATAGGGATGGAAACACATGCACACCCACTTCCCCGTGTTAAGAGATCTTCAGGACTCTGCCAAGTACTATCTCCCAGCGGATTTCTGTATAAAACTTGAGGATAAGATGACTTTGGTTCTTTCTTCTGAAAATGTTTCTCAAATGGAGTACAGAGTGATTCATCAGTTTAGAAAATTTTAAGTAAACATAGCTAACATAGTCAAATTTTGGGGGGTAGACTCCTGACTTCCCCTTTTTTGTTTTTTAAGAAGATTTTTAAAGGTATGATGTGCCCATTCAATAATCGCCTGACCAGTTGGATTATAAGGTATTCCTGTTTTATGTTGGATATTCCAATGCTGAAGGAAGGCTTGGGTAGAATGGGAAAGCTATCTTGGGCCATTATTAGTTTTAATTTGCTGAGGCCGACCCAAATGACTGAAGGCTTCAAGCTAATGGGCTTGTATATTTTTTGCAGATTCTCCTGTTAAAGCAGATGCATGTAGGGCACCAGAGTAAGTATCAACAGAAATGTGAATGTATTTGAATGTTCCAAAGGGAGAGTAATGAGTGACATCTGTTTGCCAAATCATTTGAAAGCTTAGTCCTCGAGGGTTAACTCCTGTGGATGGAGATGTCTTAGTAAGGGCTTGGCAGTCAGGGCATTCTTTAATAATTTGCTTAGCTTGAGAATGATAAAGACATAGTCTTTTAAGTTTTTCCATTACTTTTTCTGTTTAGCCCCTGGGGCCTGAATTTTTTGCCTTCCTGGAAGGGCTCCTTTGAGCTCCTAACCTTTGGCTTTCTGGTTTGCAAATAGGTAGGGAGCAGTTGGCTAGAAAATAGCCTGTTTTAAAAGTGCCATTTTTTTTTCTTGTAAAGACAGGCCCTCTGCTGTTTTGCAAGCTGCAATGAGTTAGAGCATTAAGTTAACTGTCTTGTTGTTTTTAGGACTTAGTAGTTCTTCGGTTTAGAGTTTGCAAGGAAAATGAGGAGTACGAGGGGCCTTCTGCTCAAACATGTTTTAGACAAAAGTGGTTATGTGCCAGGGGCCTTTTGTGACTTCACTGAAAACTAATTGTTTTCTTCTGAGAGAATAGCCAGTACTTCCGCAAGGAAACGATCAGTGTTTACAGGTACTGAGTTAAAAATGGTACTTTGTTTTCCGGGGAGAAGGGGTAGTTCCCTCAGGGAGACAGTACACCTATATTTCAGTTTTACAGTAAAGGGTCACGGCTCTGGCATAAACAAGGAGGATTCTTCATCTTCTTTCAGCACATTATACCTCCTATCCCACTTACAGTATGCTTTAGATGAACAAATTTATGAACACATTCATAACTTTTAGAAACAGGTTTTCTCTACTGGCAAATGCATTGACTTTTTTGTCCTTGGGATTACTGCATTCTTGCAATGTGCTCAAAAGTGAGCTGTCTCATTATCTAGTGCCCTTGAAAATTTTTAGGGAGGTTGAAGAAGAGGGAGGGAAGATATTAAGCTCCACATAGCTTGTTCCCAGGACTGAAGCAGTCCCTGGGTCTTCAGAAAGAGGATTCAGAAAGGTTAAAAGACACATTTTGTCATTTTTTTAATTCCTGCATTTTTTTACTATCTGAGTGAAGTGGGATCTTTTTCTTTCTTTAGTAATCAATTTAAATTCTGAGTAGAATCTTTATGATGTAACAATATTAGAGAGCTCATTCTATTTATTGAAATATTTTGAGACTGAGGTGTTACTTTTAAAAACAGAAACAAAAACAAAATTCAGGCAAACCAGTATTTTCAAATTAAATCCTCTAAAGGAGGGAGTGAGACACTAGTCGTCATCTCACACCACCTGGTGCTGTTTCAACTTCTGCCCAACTTTTCCTAAATAACTAAGTCTAGAGGTCCCTTACCAGGGAAGTATTTAGTAGCTTTAAAAAACTGCCAAATTAGTATAAAACATTGCTCTTATTCTTTAGAGAGCCTATACTTGTTAAAAAGTTACTATTTTTACTTTCAATTTCTGCTGTTTCAGATTCCGAACCCTAGCTAATTATCTATTGGGCAGTATAGTGTGGTGGGTCAAAAACATACTGTTGCTGAACAGTCGGGGAGGGCTGCTTGGTGTCCAGGGAACCCTAATCCTGCTTATGGGTTTCAGGTTTTTCCCACGTGTCTAAGACTGCGAGGAAGGGCTCGAAGCGCCAGGGGACCAGCTTTTATATCGTGCTCCCTGACCCAGCCCAGAGTTAAATTATTGTGACTGGAAGTCCCTCTGAGGCCCTTACACGTCGCAGGGATTGACCCCAGACACCTCTGCAAGGCCCCTACTCACGTAGGAACGCTTGAGATCTCAAGCAGGAGGGAGGAGATTCCTCTTATCTTCGATGCCCAGCAAGAGGCCGAGACGTTCATAAACAACCCTGTTAACTAACTCTGAGTTCTCAAAGCAATCTTCGGAGTCCGGTTAAAACTGAAACACTCATTTACTATCCGCTTTTTTATTTACAGGCAGGCAGAGGGAAAAGGCAGAATCAAAAGGGCTGCAAAGGCCCTGGCTGGTATAGCTCAGTGGATTGAGTGCAGGTCTGTGAACCAGAGGATCGCAGTTCAATTCCCAGTCAGGGCACATGCCTGGGTTGCAAGCCAGTTCCCTGCAGGCCAGTTCCCAGCAGGGGATGCACTAGAGGCAACCATACATTGATGTTTCTCTCCCTCTCTCCTTCCCATCTAAAGATAAATAAATAAATATTAAAAAAAAAAAAAGGGCTGCAAAGAGCAGCTTTTAAAGAAAGGATGCGCAGAGACACTTGTAAAAAAGCTAATTGGAAGGGAAGTTCATTGCTCTCTCTCCCAAGCCTAAAACCTGATTGGGGATTGTGATGTGGGGATCGGCTTGTGTTTTTTACAGTGTACCTCTCGTTGTATGGGCTTTTGCTTGCAGTTGGCAGGAAACCTAGCGTTCCGTCCTGGCCCACGTCCAACTTTTCCTGTCACAGGTGCCTTTGTTGCAGCGAACGCCCTTGTGGCTCTTAACTGCCGACCTGGACCTGTGCCCTCAAGGTGCAGCAATTGCCAGAGAGAGAGAGAGCAAGGCTTCTGCTTACTAAAGAAAGTGTGGTTGCAGAGAGAGTGGCCTTGGAAAAAACAACCCTTTTCCTAAAATGCAACACACCCTACACCCTCCGAGAAGCACTGGGGTCATCTACCCTTACCTGGGCTTTTGCACACATTCCACCCACATTGGTGTGTTGACCACAACCTGATACCCTTGGCTCATGGCCTTCACGTCGCATCCCTGTTCGGGCGCCAGATGTTGCAGACCCTGTCCAGCAGAGTCCACCTGTTGTGGTTGACGACAAAAATCAATACACAGGGGACAAGAACCCTGTGTGGAGAAAGGGAACAGGCACGACTACTCTCTCAAGGGGAGAGTGCCTATGGTGCCTCGGCCACTCCCTCAAGAGGGGAACAAGTCAACCCTTGCCTAGACAGGCTTTTATTGTTTTCCTGGGGTCTTACATCATAGAAAGATTTATTATCTATTACACAGAACATTGTTGTCTCCATTCTAGGTACAATCAAGGAAATAAAAATAGCATGCAGAGGGGGATGGCAATGAGCTCATTAGCTCTGTCCTTGGGGGAGCTCACACATCCTTTGGAAGTTACCTTGAGGATAAACAATACACATTTGTTGCTTTAGACCAGGGTGAGAGAGTTTTAGCAAGAGCAAGCCGTAACAGTCTAAGTATTTTCTAGGCCTGATTCCCATGGGAAAACTCGGTTTGAAGGTCTGGCTCCTGCCCACCACTTCGCATCTGTAGGTTTTCCATACAGAGCCGAGTCACATCTGCCAGGCCAAGACAAACCGGTCCCCCCATAGTAGTGCCTAGTTATTTTTAACTTCATTGAAAACAATTTTGTTAGACTGTATTGTGACAGCTTGTCATATCCGTGTGCATTTTTAAAAAAACCATCAAAATTGGTGAAATTTATGTAGCCATTTTAATATTGAAGATGGAATAAGTGACATTTTTGGCATATAATGCTTTATTATTTCAAAAAAGGTAAAAGTGCAATTGAAACACACACAAAAAACTGTGCACTATGTGAAGAAGGCGTTGTGACTGATCAAATGTGTCCAAAGTGGTTTGTGAAACTTCACGTTGGAGATTCCTGGCTGAACAATGCTCCCATGGTCAAGTAGACCAGCTGAAGTTGATGGTGATCAAATTGAGACATTAATTGAGAACAGTCTACGTTATATCATGTGGGAGACTGCCCACATACTCAAAATATCCAAGCCAATAGTTATTGGTGAAAATGAAAAATGCGTCTTTTATTTTATGGGAAAAACTAAACGACACAATACGCGCCATAATCTGATTCGGTGCGTCACCTACCCGGGGCAGGCAGAAGTGATCCAGGAAACGTGGCCATCATTTGCCTCTCAAAATGAGTTTCATTTAATGGAATGCTCACACCTGTGTGTAAAAACCTTTAGCCAGATTCCTTGGGTAGTAATCAGTTAGGAAGTATCAGCCTTAAAATATACCAAAATATAACATTTAAGTTTGCACTACTAGAAAATTGGAAAGTTTTACACAGAAGAAAAAACATTTAAAGATGTGGATTCTTACAAAAATAAAAGGTGGATGCCACTGCTGCTTTTTAGATCTAGTTTATATATTTTTCTATTTAAAACCCCAATGTCAAGCACTAGAAACCACCATTTAAAGAAAACATCAAATCTCCCCACCTGTGTCATAATGCAGAGAAAACACTTTTTCTAAAATAACAACCTATAATGACTAAAATATGCCAAAATGAAAGGACGAACTCCTCTAACTGAGATTCCCCAAAAAGTCTCCAGAGAAGGTACCAGGAACAATGGAATGGCAAATCCAACATCCTTTGACCCCCAGTCACTCTGCAGTGTCACACATTAAAGGGCTAGAGAGGGCTTTCTGGTTTCCAGAACCTCACTTCATCCTACTGAAGGCATTTTTAATTAGTGAGATTAGACTCACACGTTACCATATTTCAATCAGCTCAGGACCTTACAGTGACCCTGTAACAGATTTATTTCAGTTTAATAGATAATGAAGGGGAATTCTACACATACTGATGACATACATATAGTTACCTAATTTATAAATTTACAAAACCCACAACAGTTAAACCAACTAAAAATTTCTCAACATCACTGTTAGAACATCTTTCACACACAAATTCTAAAATTGCTGATTTGATTTTACTAATACTTACTTTGCTAGCTTACAGCAGAGAAAAATTACTCCCATCTGTTTTGACATAATATGAAAAACTCTAAATTCCCTCAGCCTCTTTTCATTAGGTCTAAATTCTCCTAAATCAGTCCACAGCAATGAGAGTTGTATCTAGCGCCCCATCACTTTCCTGGCCTCTTTGAGAACTTTAAGACAAACCCAGCGGTACCTGGATTTTGTCTACATTCCATTTGATTCTACTCATAGTTTCATTTCTTTTCCTGCCTGAATTATGAGTTGTTAGAAGTTCTTTTGCAAGTCAGTTGGAAGTTTCCATATGTGCCCTTGAATGACAGTGCTTCATGAAGTGAGTTCATTACACCCATTTTTCTCAGCTTAGATGCTGGTCTGTCCTCTTTCCTGGTTTCCCACACACTACAGCACTGAACATGCTGCCCGGCACTTATGTGAGTGCTCACAATAGTCTCAATGATGGACTGTTTCAATGATGCATTCTAGTATTATTTATTTGAAGACAACTCAAGCAGCAGTAAGAGCTCTAATTCAACAATTTGTAGTTTTAGCAATGCAAACAGCTGGCATCTACAAACAGATGTATTCCTTCAAGTGACAATTTACTACTTCCTGGTGGCCCTCTCATTTTATTGACATCAATTTTGAGATTCACTCAGATTTCAAAACTATTAAAATAAAACTTCAGAATGGATTACATTTCAGTGATTTTATCACTGAACAATCTGAGAATGAGCAAGGAGAAAGTAGTAACAGGCTATTGCTTGTATCTCTCTCAAGGTAAAGTTATCAAACTAAGAACCAGTAGCCCAAACGCTACCACCACACAAAAGAATCCATCTCGGGTCTCAAAGGTGCAAGCAATACCGCAGTGGTCTCTAATCTTACCTGTACATTCTAATCACTTGGAACACTTCTGATCTTGACCCAGAGAGTCAGACTGCCTTGGGGTTGGCCAGGTGTTTCTTCCCAAGGTCCTCGGCAGTTTTCAAAGTGCAGCCAGCAGTGGGGTCCGGGCGATTCTGCAGGGGCCGCCACCGCTCTCCGGCACAGGCGGCACTGCCCTTCTCTAAATGAGCCAACGGTTAGTTCTCCTCCACGACAGTAGCATTGAAAAGATCCTCAGTGAGGTATTCTCTTTAACTTCTTTCTTGCTCCAGACTTTGGCTGCTATGTGTCCTGTACTAACTCTAACCAACCAAATGAGTGGGCAGAAAGTGTGGGTTCTGGCCCTCGATCTGCCCTGCGGGACCCCGTTCTAGTTGCTCCCACCAGCTGGGCCGTGCTGTCTATGAAATGCTGGTGTTGGATTGAACGCTTTTCTGACACTGTGTTTCTATAACCAGAATGTTTAGCTAAAAACATCAACACTTACCCATCTTAGTTCTAACTGGCAATAGCCAGAGGAATTGTGCTGGGTTCTTGGAAAGTGGTCCCGCAGCAGGAATAATACTCCACGTGGCTTTGAAAAGCACGAGAGGCCAATGAAATGCCAAAGCAGCAGCGCTTTCCAGGCTTGATGGTATTGTAGCCACTGACATATTCATGTGGCAAATGCACTTGAGACAATGAATAATCAATTTGTCAACTGAAAACTGAGCAAGCCGCGTGGTCTCAGACAAGTGACTTACCCTCTCTGCGCTTTCACTCCCTCCATTCCAAAATGGACACAATAGTACCTACTTTCACAGGGGGTAAAAAACAAATTAGATCAATGCATTTAAAGTATCTAGCAAATGCCTTGAAAACATGTGCTCAATACTTTTAAAAAATCTTTTTTCTAGAAACCTTAAGTTATAAAGCCAAATCTATAAATCAGGCAAAACAAAGGAATTTAAAAGCTCTTTTATTTCTATTATGCACTAAAGGAGCCTGGCTAGTGTAGCTCAGTGGATTGAGTGTAGGCCTGCGAACCAGAGGGTCGCAGGTTCGATTCCCAGTCAGGGCACATGCCTGGGTTGCAGACCGGGTCCCCAGTAGGGGGCTTGTGAAAGGCAACCACACACGGATGTTTCTCTCCCTCTTTCTCCCTTCCTTCCCCTCTCTAAAAATAAATTAAAAAATTTTTAAAAATTGGAAAGGAAGGTTGCACACATTCTAAGCTTAGAAGTGTAACTGATAGTTTCTTCCCCTTAAAATAAATATTACATATGTTTCAGCAATAAGTGTATTTTATTTGAGGCTTTTCAGTGAACTACAAAAGCAGCCAACGGAGTTGAGATATATACCAAATTGACTTTGATAAGAGAGGAGCTTCTGAATAAAATAGACAGGGCTTCCAAAATTTCTTGTTTCTGCCTGAACTCATTCCACTGGAAGCCATTAAAAATCTAAACTCTGCAGATTCAGTTCAAGTCAGTCCATGTAAATGGGGACAGTCAATTTTTGGCTTTTCCTTTTTTCACAGGAAGCTGACCCGTAGCTTCCAAATACTTATTGATGAGGTCCTCTTGTGTGGACGGCAAACACGGCTGGTATCTGCAGTACTCCATTGTGTATTCTCCCTTCCCCTGGCAATTTAAAGAAAAAGAAAAAAAAAACCCAGAGATTTAGAAAAATGTATAACTATCAAGTAAAATCATGCAAAAACAAGATTTCACAAATGTGATCCTTTTGTAGTATAACCACTTCGAGGAAATGGAAGTAAAACTCAGGCACCGGCTCACCTCTGTGCATGACCTCAGTTCAGTGGAATAACCAAACATGTCATTTAGCGGGACCTGGAAACAAACACGGCAGACATTTTAGCACTGCTCACTGAAAAACGTTTGAAAAAACCAGAGAAGCCTTAGCCATTTAATTCCTTTAGAGTGAGGTTTCTACTAACGACTCTTGGTTTAAAAGAACTAGAAGCCAAAGAGAAACATATTTTTGTTTTACTACAAGTAGAAATCCTATTTGAAAATAACTTCACTTGACAGTCACAACTGGAGAGCAAACGTCCCGTCTCACAGCAGACTCGCCAACGGCCTGCTCTGCTCACCCCGCCCCCCTCCGCCGCGCTCAGTGTTCAGGAGTTTCTTCTGCGGGGATGTTAACACAGCTTTCCTGGGACACCTGAATGAATCTGCTGATAGCAGTGTCTTCAGGAAGCCTTACAGAATGTGGTAACATACTCTCTCCCATAAGATTTCAGTCAAGTAAGGTACAGGTGAGAAAGTGAAATATTACCCCAATAAATTAGAGATGACATAATAAAGCTGTAATGAGAAAAATGACAAAATATCTAAGAAAATGACATATTCACAAAAGGCCTACATAAAATAAATCTTATTTTTAGCTTTTGCACTTAAGAGTTGCCCTTACAGTGAATTACAGAAATTGCCACAAGTTCAACACCCAAATAGCCAGGGAAATGTGTCAGTCTGCTTCACAAGCACCCAAAACAAAAGCTGACTCTGATCTCTGGCTGTGGTCAATGAACGTGAGGCTGGCGGGGACCAGCAGCACTCACCTCTGCGTACAGTGTGAAATAGTCCTCGATTCCGTCCTGCCCTGTGACCACCCCGTGGCGCCGGTTAATGCCTGCAATCACTGCTCCCTGAAACTCATTTGGGGCCGTAACTTCCACAGACATAATGGGTTCGAGAATACATAATGTTGCATTTGCCAGGGCTGGATTAAAAATATATATATATTAATATATGTATATTAATAAACTATATATATTAGTTTATTAATCTCTAAGCAAGCTGAAACACTTTTCCATCCAGATATACAAACGGGAGACAGAAGGTATTCTCCCAAAGGCACACACACAAATGATGAGGTTATAATATCTAATCTGGACTCCTTTTTCTGTAGCAGTAAGAGTCACTCTTCTAAATGAAAATTTCAAAAAGATGAAACTTAGTATTTGTATTTCCATTACTGTCATTTTATCCTTAAAAATCATTAAGCCACAGAGGATAATATAAAAGGGGTCTTAAAATCACATGCAGTCAAGTCCTTTACCATTTAAATTATGCAGGGGAGAGTTACTTATTCTTTCTCTCTGAAAATTCTTTCTTGTTGGTCCCTGGCAGACAACTAGTTTTAACTGTACAAAAACAACCTCCATCACAGGCACGAGCTGGGAGGAGGGCACCCTTCACAGACTTGGAGACAACAATCAAGTCACGTCTGAGATCCGTCTTTCCTTTTCTAGGCTGAACAATGTCAACATCTGCTTGAGAATTACAAATACCAAGTTCCTAGTTTCCACTCTGCCTCTAATAAGTTATATGCCTTTTGGAAAACACAATTTGTCCATGTCTCAAGTTTCTTCACTTAAAAATTACAGACTTTGGCCCTGGCTGGTGTAGCTCAGTGGATTGAGAGCGGGCCTGTGAACCAGAGGATCACGATTCGATTTGTAGTCAGGGCACATGCCTGGGTTGCAGGCCAGTTCCCAGCAGGGGACACACGAGAGGCAACCGTACATTGATATATCTCCCCTTCTCTTCTTCCCTTCCCCTCTAAAGATAAATAAATAAAATCTTAAAAAAAATTACAGACTTTGGCCCAGACTGGTGTGGCTCAGTTGGTTGGGCGTTGTCCTGAAAAGCGAAAGTCGCTGATTTGATTCCTAGTCAGGGCACAAGCGTGGGTTGCAGGTTTAGTTGCTTGGTTGAGGCATGTAAGAAGCAAACAATCGATGTTTCTCTCACATCGACATTTCCCTCCCCCTCTTTCTCCCTCCCTTCTCCTCTCAATAAATAAATAAATAAATAAATAAATAAATAAATAAATAAATAAATCTTTTTTAAAAAAGGCATCAGGCCTGTGAATCAAGGGGCTGCCTGTTCAATTTCCAGTGTAGGGCACGTGCCTGGGTCCCCCCAGTAGGGTGCGCATGAGAGGCCAACAACACATTGATGTTTCTCCTGCTCTCTTCCTCCCTCCCTTCCTTTTTCTCTAAAAATAAGAATAAAATCTTTCAAAACAAAAAGGTCCCAACGACTTGCCATTTCCATGCGGGAAGCAAGCAGTGGAGCCTGGGTTTAAACTCAAAGCCCGGCCGTAACTGGCCAGGGGATGAGGAAGGCAGGCCTGTTGAGTTAAATGAGCTCACCATGACTCTGGCTGGCCTCTGTTTCTCTTACAGAGCGGCTACAAGTTCAATGTTTCTGGGACACCAAGCACAGTGCTCTTTCTAAAATTTGGTCATAGGAAATGAGGGCAAGGTCACATCCACAAGGTGAACCATGCCCACAATATTCAATTTCACATTGCAGTTACATCGCTGACTAATCTAAGGTCAGAGTTTAAATAGTGACTGAAAAAAGTTTCAGTTTTCATTTTTTTGAATGAAAAACAGGTCCTGGCCATGTGGCCCAGTCGGTCAAAGCATCGTCCCGTTTACCAAGAAGGCTGAGGGCCCATCCCTGCTGGGGGCACATACTAGAGGCAACAGAGGCTGTTTCCCTCTAACCCCCTCTCTCCTTCCCGCCCCTCTCTCTAAAATCAATAAACATATCCTCAGGGCAGGATTAAAGAAGCAAAAAAGAAAAATACACAGGATCATAAACTGTTTTTCTTCCAATTTTGGTATCAGATGATAAGTATAAGCTATTTTAACACTAAGCTCATTTATCAATATTTTTACTCTAAAATTCTCCTATGACATTCAATGGAAATGTGTGCTTAAGGGTGATTTTCTTACTGAGCCTGGCAAAAGCTTTCTTTACCCTTCATAGTTCTGTTTTTTTGTTCACAGAAAAATAAGAATTAGATGAAGAAATAACAAAATAATTCATTTTTCATGCTAGCACCCTGCTTATTCGCACTCGTTTATCTGACCAAAAACATCCCCCAAACGTCTCAATTCAATTCTCATTTACTGTTTCTCCTTTGCACACCCAACAGGCAATTAGTCATACTTAATAATATTTACAGACTTACATAATTAAAAATTAAATGGTACATACTGAACTGTGTAGTTAATATTCATAGATACACAGACCTTTCTCATGGATGCATAAGTGTATATTATAAGCATATACATCTATATTTATTTACATTTCATATAAGAACAATGAAAAAAATGAGGCTCTTCATTAACTGATAACCGTACCAATTTTCTTGCTATATGTAACCTGTAACCTCAACCTGCAGGAAAGCCACCAATTTCCACTTGAGAACTAGCATTGAACTACTGGTGATTTCTAATTTGTTTTAACTGTACTTTTAAAAAGTATCACTATGTATACATTTACCAATCCATCACATTGCAAACTTTAAATATCTTACAGTTTTGTCAATTACATTCCATCAAGCTGAAAAGAACACAGTGATTACCACCTGGGTGTCGGTTTGACAGTGGCAAACTCAGAGGGAAAGGGGCAGGTGTTGTAATCTCAGTCACGGCTGATAAAGTCTTGTTGCCTTCGTGACTTTATTTCCCCCTTTTCCTATTAATATAGTCTTTAGATTGTCTCAGGAGTTCTAGATCATGTATTTCAACTGCACTTTTAAATATGTTTATTGGTTTTTAAAGATCGAAGGGAGAGAGAGAAACATCAGGGAGAGAAACATGGACTGGCCACCTCCGGCATGCAGCCCAACGGGGGAACGAGCCTGCATCCTTTCGGTGTACGGGACATGCTGCAACCAACTGAGCCACCTGGCCAGGGCTCGAATGCATTTTTAATACACCGCTGGCATAAAGAAAATAGAGGATTTTCTCTCCCTTTCACAGCCAGGAAACAAAAGCAGAAATTACTAATGTCTCCCATTAGTTTCAGTATAATAACGAATTAGCAAACTGGCTATGAACAGCCTTTTCCAACCACTGACCCACCTGATCACAGATGCAAACGGACCAAAAACAACAGAAAGTCCAAAAGTCATGCAGAATCAATAAAATTGTGATTTACAGAATGCTTAGAAAATGTGTCCATTAACCTAGTTTTCTACTGTCCATTTTGAAATGAAAGGTTGAAAACACTTCTGAAATGTTTGGTGAATCATGACGTAACTTTCCTGAAGATGCTCACAGACGTCACTAGATACAAATGGCCACAGAACAGACATGGAAAAGGTGACAGAGGGGATGAGCTTTCTGGCCTCAGGACACGACTCTGAAGTTCTTTTGTCACGTGACCCTGATGTCGAAGTGCTGCACTGTCATTTGCCTCCTCTCCTGAAAGCAACGCATCAGACATGTGTGCAGTTGCTCAGGGCTCTGTTTCACGAGCCCTGTTTTTCTGTTTCTATTTTTAATATACATATTATTCTGTGTGAGAAAGGCTGACAATTTTAGCAGTTCAGCAAGAAGTCTACACTGTGAATATAGTTTACTAAATTCTTTCAAAATATTTTGCCATTCTCAAATTGCCTAAAAGCATTCAATGTCCTAAATGAAAAAAATTATTTATGGATTTCCTGACATGTGAACAAATCACAAAAACCACAATGACTGTAGTTAATATTTAAAATATTTCTTAGAATTCTGGGCATTTCTATCTTTTCTATTAAAAACTTGGTTTATTTATGATTTTAAATATACAAAAATTAACAAATAATTTAGGAGAACAGGGTAGGCGTTTAATTTTAGAAGAAAGAGAACAGCACCCTCTATCCCCACTTGGAGTCTACGAACGCTGGCCCAGGACCAGCCTCGTGCCCCGGTGCGCCGCCCAGTGCTCTGGAAGGGAGGACCGAAAGAGCACGGGTCTGCAGCAAGCGGGAGGACCCAGCATACCTTGTTTAAGGGCACCTTCTCCTGCGCGGATGAAAGAGATTTCATTGGAATCCACCATGTGATGCGCTCCATCTTGCAGGACAAACCGGAGCCCAGAGAGTTTGTGACCAGACAGAGGGCCCTTCTCACAGGCATCCAGAAACCCCTGTTGATGAACGGACACCCCTCCTGGAGTGAGTAGCTTTGACTTGTAGATGCATTTCCCAGGACCCCCAAACATTTCAGTATTCAGAAGTTAAACATTTTTGTTTTTGCTATATTTTACTCCTCAAAAAAGGTTTTAAAAGTTGAACAGCCTACTATTTAATTACTGTGTCATCCAGATGAGTAATCCCCTCGAAAAGCATACTGGTTAAAGGTGTGAGCTGGTCTGAAAGCGATGCTGAGAGTGGTAACAATCACCTTCTCAAAACCTCACCTTCGGGAATTACATGACACTTTCCACCCAGGAGGGAGACAGTGTGACCTTAATTTTACAGGGCCATCTACAGGCAATGTTAAAGGCAAATATAAAGAACTCCTGAAAAGAAAACCCCCAGCAGGACGGGCGTTTATTCAACGGCTGTGTCTTGAGCTCCTACTATGCACCCGCCACTGTACTCCCCACCCACAGATCATGGCCCGATAGCTGTAGTGTCAGAAAACTAAAATGAAGAGGTCGTTTTTCCAAATGCAATTCTTCTTTTAAAAAGCAGCTCCACTGAGGTATACCAAATTGTACTTTTCACTTAGTCTTTAAAGAGTACAATTTGGTAAGTTTGCAGCTCTTTTTTATTCGGTCATTAACATATATTTATAGAGCTCCTATAATTCAAGTTAATTTTTCTTGGCATAACAGCCACATGACTACACACACAGCACAGTGTAGTTCTGATATTTCGAAACCGCAAATGCTATCTGCTGAAAAATACCTATGCCCTACTCAGCTACATTAATCTCAGAGAACAGAAGATATTGACAAAATATTGTCTTGAGAGAAAGTATAATTAATAAAATACACCAATCACAAAAAATTCTATCACTAATGAAATCAAAATTACTACCTGTTAATAAAGATTTATAAGTTAAAAGGTTAAAAAAATGAATAGGTTTTTCAACCTGTAAAAACAGCTATTAAAAGTTTACAGCAGTCTTAAAGCCGGTGACCTAGAAAGCAAACAATACACTAACCACTTCCATGTGCAAAGCACGTCACAGCTCCCAAAGCAAAGTCGTCTTCTGTGACCCTCGGTTTTGTGAGGCGCTCCGGTCTGAGTCCTTCGCTCTCGCTTCACAGACAACGAGCTGGCTCTGAGCACTGGGAGTGACCGCAGCGCACAGAAACCGGGAGCAGACTTGAGGGCAGCACCCAGCTGCGGGGATTCTGAATTAACGATCATTCTACTACTGCAGCCACCTAAAACCTTCATGAACCCTCAGGACTACAACAAATTTCCACTGCTGATCACAAGCAATGAAGTAGTTTCAATTTATTAAGAGAAATATTAACTTTTATCAACTTACCAGGAGAAATAACCATGATTAAGAAACTGAATGACTTCCTTTCAGTGTCATACCATATATTTACAGTTCTGAAGTTACCGAATTGAGGATTCATAACTGGATGGAAAGCTTAACAATTACATAAAGAAGCAGCACTGTAATTAAATGAGCCATGGAAGACAATGCGATGGAAACATGATTTAATACCAAAACTTTTTGATTTTGTAAAATGCAATAAATATACATGTTTTACCTTTTCTACGGCAGGCACAAATTGCTTTGGCACATTTGACCCGAATGTTTCATCTGAAAACTCCAACTTAGTGTAGTTCTCTGCATCCAGAGGCTCCAGGACACCCATCACTTTTCCAAACTGGCCTGCACCACCCGACTGTTTTTTATGCGTAAACTCAAACCTGGAAGTAATTTAGGAGAAAAAAAAAATCAACATAGCATTATGTAATTACCAAAATGAGATCACTCCTACTGATTTAAATGGAAAACCACATTTCATCATTTTTATGTTTTCTTTGAATATGATAGCCTTGCTATCAAATTTTATTGCAGAATTTATTTTAAAAGAAATTCTCTCCTTTCTGTTCATACTAGGAGCTGAGGGAGGGGCACACCACCAAAATAATCCATGCCCTCATCCCGCCAAGTTTGAATTTATTTCCCAAGTAGAAAAGTAGAAGTAATTATTAATAAGAAAACTGAGACAGTCTAAGATTCTCCTTCCAGTAGCCTACATTCCAAAGAGCTTACTCATTTTTTTCCGGAATGCCTCCCTTTCCTGGGAGAGTGCTCTCTCTTTAAATCTCTACAACCGAGGACAGTTATTTGAAAATGAGAGATTTGCAGTTATTTTATTCAGATGGTTGCTATGTGATTTTACGACTTGGGCATTATAGACTGATGCAATACAAAAAAGGGAGTTTCAGGAAGAGACCTGAGTAGCATCTCCTACCAAAACTGATGTCTACTTCTCCCAAACCACCCTGGACATGGATGTGGGGACGCACACTCATTCGTGTCCATTTATCTGCAGTTATTCACAGACAACTTTGAAAGGAGCTGGTCTCTTCTACATTATGGTCTTGAGGAAGTTTCATTTTAAAGGAAGAAATGTCTTGCAAACAGCAGTTACTCATTAAATGTTTTTTCGAAGAAATAGTAGCCTATTTTACATATGCTTAATATGTACGTAAAATGCTTCATCTGTTCTATTTATGTTGCCATTAGTGATTTGAAGTAAACACCGAACTGTGTCTGTACATGTGTCTATTTGAATGACATGTTCAGTCATTATCATTTTGCCATTTAGGCTGTTTCATAAAGAGCCTAAGTGAGAATGTGCCTGATGAAACCCTTTAAGTAACCTTCCAGTAGTCAAGAGTTTCAGGATGGGCTGGGAAGAAAATGCTGAAAGGTTCATTTTCCTGGGAGGGATGAAACAGTCAGTGGAACAAAGAGAAGGAAAGCAGCAGAGAAACAACTGCCAAGTCACCACAGAATTAGTGAAGGGATTCCAAACTGGGGTTCACCGACATACTATCAAGTGCGCATGAGCTTCTGAGACATCTTAAATCGTCTTCAATTTGACAAAAACATAACATCTATATTCCATACTCTAGAGATCTGTGCTGTCTATATGGTAATTAGTAAGCACTGATATTTACATTTAAGTTAACTGAAGTTAAATAAAATTTACAGTGCAGTTCCTCAGATGCACTGGTCCCATTTCAAGTGGCTAACAGCCATACGTGGAGAACAGCTGCTGCACAGGATGGCACAGACAGAGCATGTCTGCTACTGCTCCAGGTTCCGCCGGACACGGCTGCTCCGAGGGCCAGCACGCTGACCAGGCAGTCATCTATGAAGGTCCAGGGACCGGGTATGAGTTTATAACGAAGTGGACGCCAAATAACAAAACACTTCTGTGCCAGACTTGTACCCAGAACTTTTTGTGGATCGTAGTCCTTGTTCTGGACCACAAGCTGATGAATAGGTACTATTTTTACCACTACTGCCCAGTTGAGAAACCTGAGGGTTAGAGAAGGTAACTTGCCAAACACAGTAACAGTGGTCACGTGGCAGCCAGGATTCCCACTGAAATCAATGCTCATAATCAAACGTTTTTCTAAAGAGTTAATAAGAATATAACCGGATTTAAACTACGAATGAAGCATTCCCTTCCAAAGCTGTTACAGGGTGCTACACAAATAGTTGTACAATAGTTTAAACAGAGAAGATGTGAAGAATACAGGCGTGCTCAAACTAAGAGCATCCATGCCCCTGTGGTGAGATCACTGAAATGCTGTGAAAGGCCATTTCATTTTTGCAAAACATCACTGCTCACATTAAAATTAATCTTAATTAGAATTGTGTTGGTTTTACGATCTCTATGTTGTAGATTCATTTTGACTTTATAGCTATACCAAAGTTGCAAGCCATACGTTTCTTCTTAGTTCTATGTTTATAGTTACATAAAATTATAATTTATCTGCTCTCAGAGGCCAGTAATAATTTTGTTACTTTCAAGATAACCCATACATTATTTGAGGATAATGATCTCTTGACTAACCATTCATGAAGCTTTAGTAAGATTTCAAGGACTCAAATATAGGAACAAGATTCTCTTAATGTAGTTTAACATTTAAATAGGCAGGTAAATTTTAATGTATTTATATTTTCAAAAGAACCTATACTGGTATGTGTACTTTTAATAAATGCTGTTAATTCCTAACCTATACTATTAGCTTTGCACTACAGAGACAGCAACTTCCCCCAGCTTCCAAAGGGTGACCTTTTCTAGGAAGCACGCACGCTGTGCTTCTAACCACTCTGATAAGGACACAGGTGTTAACCAGCTATTTGTGAAACTACAATTCATTATCAGCACAAAGCTCTTTTGGTGTCATCAGAATGTGACAGCCACTCTTTCCTGGATACTGTCAAAGGAGCACACAATCCAAACCATTCACACACACACACACACACACACACACCCTCAGTGCTTTGGCCAAATAACTCACACCTCTTCTCCTCAAAAGAAAAACAAGGTTCAATTTTCCATTTTTTAGAAAAAACCTGGAGGAGAAACTAACCCCCTCACTCTCTAGTTACTTCAGAGTTGTCGGCTAATAGAACTAGAAAGCACAGGAAAATGCCTTACTTCTTACTATTATACATTTTAAAGGTTTTTAAAGTATCACTATGACATATGCCTAGAAAAAAAAATCTTCAAAAACCCATTCTGAGAAAAAGGGGAAAGAATCTCTATTTCCAAGCCAACAAGCTAAAGTGAAGTTCTGACAGTACATCTGATGAGAAGAGAAGAAACCTTAGTTTCCAGACCTGGAGAAAATCTGAACGGCCTAAGGAGGATCTCCTTCAAAGGTGACCCAAGAAGGTAATTAAGAAATCTAAACGGAAAATGCACTGCCTACTAAGAGTTTGGGCTTAAACAAAGTAAGTGGCTTTAAAAATCCCTGCTTTTTCGACTTCACTGTACTGGCTCCATATAAGTTCAGTTTTCAAGTGTGTTTAATCCTTACAGTTAAATTTTCAAAGTGACGGAGCAATTTGTGTATAAAAATCTCATCATTCTAAGTGAAGGGAGATTGTGCAAGCACATTTTTAAAATTTCTCCTGAATCAAATCACATAATCCTCCAAATCAATGTTACGGTTTGCAGTCTCTCACACCCTGATTTGGGCAGAACTGGTCCAGCCCCCCACAAAAAGTGGGGGACAGCAACCCTGTTCCTGGACTCTCACAATGGGAGGGGTTAAGAAGGAAGGGAATCTAGTCACTGCCGGGACCTCCTCTGCACTTTGACCTGTGCGTGATACTGTGGGTGGTGTACAAGGAAGCTAGCTGTGCTTCACTCTGCACGGGAAGCAACTAGACTGCCTGCCAGGGAGAGGAAACTGGAGGCTCCAGAGGAGACGTTCCAGTAAGGCAAAAGCCAAAAAGCCCCTCCCGCACTTCTGTAAGGGCTACAAAAGGAAGAAGTGCTAGCTAACCCGGCCCACATCTCCATCCCACCCAGCCTGATCTGGGGGTCTCCAGCCAGGAGGGAACCTGAGAGTAAAAGTGCACGGAGCACGGCAGGGGACCGCCTCAGCCAGCGCCCAGGGGCAGCTTCCTGAAGCGGAAGGAAGGAGGGTAGGAAGGAGGGAGAGGCGGGGAAGGAGCCGGGGTCCCGCCCACACCCCACCCAGCACAGCAACCTCGGCCACAGGCGGCGACTGCGGGCCGGACGCGCACTCGTGGCGTCCAGCTAGGCTGGAGCAGACCCGAGCTGTGCTCACCAAGAATGGAAATCCCACCGACCCACTACCCTGCCTCCAGGGCGGCCTCGGTGGTGGAGAACTGCATTAACTACCAGCAGGGGACCCCCCACAAGGTGTTTCTGGTGCAGACAGTCCAACAAGCCAGCATGGAGGTGAGTCCAGCAGTGGGGCGCCGGCTCTCCACTCCCGAGGGTCTGCAGCAGCTGCCCGTCCGGCGGCTGCACCCTTGTCAGATCTAGAAGGGTTGATGTTTCCGGGGAAGACGACAACGCAAATCCAGGGACAGCACAGACAGGATAGTTTTTTATGGGCACTAATACAGGGAAATGGGAAAATGTTTCCCACGGGAGGCAGCATTTTCCCCTCTCTCTGAGTGAAACCTGTAGTAACCATTCAAAAGAATCTTAAGACTGCTATGACATTCCTCATCAAATACTCCACAATCTGGATCAACCAGAGTTCCTGTCTAGCTAACGGTTCTTCATTTTAAGACCAATGCTGCTCAGACCCTTTGACCAACAAGGGGCAACAAAGAGCAGGAGAATCTGAGAGCCGGTATCAGTGGCAATGAAGCCCAAACACTGCCGCACGCAGACCGCCCTGAATTATGTGGTTTGGGGCTTACATTAAATGCTTAAGACCTCAGCAATTACTAAGCCTGTTTCCATTTTACTAAAATCTAATGGGTTTGAGATTGTTCATTACGTATCTGACAGTTTAACTGCAAACAGTCTTTAAGAGCTCACAGGGAATAGAGGGTAACTGAACCAAATCAGGTAATTAGGTGTAAATGCTCCATCGTATCTTGATTCAACAGTGAAATACCTAAATGTTTCTTACTGTTATAAAATCTGTTAAAGTATCAATTTTCAGGTCTACTAATATACAAGTAAAAACTACTTACTATGCTAATCATTTTGCAGTAATCTGTCTCAGAATGGAACTCATCTTCAATGAACACTATTTGGAGGGTAAACAGGGCTCTATGAAAAATTTTTTCAATGATGTAGCCCATTTGTCATCTTTAGAATTAAAAGCTGTTTAAAAATTTCTTATATAGAGAATTAAGATCACAGACCCAGAGGCTGAAGTCCTCTCACTGAAAGTGAACTGAAGCCCCTTTGTTTACATGTGCTTTCGTCCCACCCTGTTCTCATCCAAAATAAGCCCAGTGGAGGTCCTGTGAGGCTAGAGGTCACATACAGGGTCAGATGCTTTTAAGGTCTGAGGCTTTATCTACCCCCGCCAGTCAGCCACCCCCTCCCCCAACGAAAAGGGAATGGATTCTTCTAACAATGCAGAGAACTGAGTTACTGTCATAGTAACTCATCACATTTCTTCAATTTTAGGATATTCCAGGACGAGGACATAAGTATCGCCTTAAGTTTTCTGTGGAAGAAATTATCCAAAAAGTAAGTGAAATATCCTTTATTATTAAATAAAATTTGACTCTAAATATTCCAGATTACCTTTGCTGATAAAATCTTAGGGTTAATTTGTATTTTTCTAAGTTGCCATGAAACTCTGCCTTGAACAGATAATGGCCATTCAAGAGTCAGCTTTTACTCCTTTGGGGTATTCTGAGATACATGAAATATTTCTGTTGCTCTTGGAAAAAGACAGACTCTATAGATTTTGGTTCAAATGCCATACTCATAGGGCAGTCTGAACTCTATTAACAAGTGAAATAAATTAGTGTCCAATCATCATCACTTTGTCTGCCTTTTTCTCATTCTGCCTTTGATTTCTTTTATTTAAAGCAATCAAGTGTTTTTAAAAAATTTATGAGCCATAGAGTGGCCAACTGATATCACCACGTTCAGATAAGAATGTTCAGTAATGGGGGAGGGAAACTGTCATATACTTGTCATGTTATTAATGGGACAAACTCAAAAGGAAGGAGCTGCAATATATACTGTGACCATCTTGAAATTAAAAACAGCTTGCCCTTTTGTTAAGCATAATTCGGAAGAGATACAGGCTAACACAAGATGCATTAAAAGGCATCTGAGCTGCTAGACAATCGTCTTTATGAAGCAGAACCGATGTTACAATCTTTAAATTTTACATCTAGATACAGATAGTTGTGTCTCAATTTGAAAAAAATGTCTGTAATTTCTGGAGTAGAGTAAGAGTAATAGAAAGAATTAAAAAGTAAGCAGAGTCTGGAGTTGGTATATAAAGGGAGACTAAAATCTGGCCTTGAAAATGGATACCCCATTAATACTGAAATATATATTCCAAGTTTTAAGATGAATTTAAAAGATGAGACCGAACAAGTTATAAAATGCGTTGTCTATTTTAGATACATCTCAGAAAATGACCAGGCCACCCCCGATTAGATTACCTCTGGAGTAGGCACACTGAAGGCCAGTCTGAAAGAAGACCATTAGGGAGGGGCCAGTGCTTTAAATATTGTCTCTCAAAGAGCAGTAGTTAGAAATGGATGGTTGCCTACACATAAAGATCTTTTGCAAAATGTCTCAAACAGCAAGTGACAGTGAACTGCACAGCTGAAGTACTTTACCCGCCAGTGGGACAAGATACTGCACCCGAAGTCAACTTCACGTTTGAAGGGGAAATTGGAAAGAACCCAGATGAAGAAGATAACACATTTTATCAAAAACTCAAATCCATGAAGGAACCAATGGAAGCACAAAACATTCCAGGTATATAAATGAGGCATGGGAAAACATACAATTTAGATTTTGTAAAAGGTTAACTCTGTGTATTTAAAGTAATTCCATTTACCACATTTCCCTCACCAGACAGTTTTGGAAACATATCTCCAGAAATGAAGCCGGTTCGACATTTAGCCTGGGTTGCCTGTGGTTATATAGTATGGCAGAATTCTACTGAAAACACATGGTATAAAATGGTGAAAATTCAAACCGTCAAGCAAGTGGTAAGTAATGCCTATAAAATATGCTCTTAATAGGGTTAATATTTATTGGAAGTATTATGAATCATTATTAGATAAATAGTGCCCCCATTAGTAATTTTGTATTTAAAATAGTATACCTGGGATTTTGAAGAAGCTGATTCCAATCAAGGCCAGAGAAAGTAAAGGTGCAGTTTCAAGAGGAGCAAAGTCTTAAATTATAAATAATTTGGCAGTCAGTTTTTGTGCTCAGCTTAATACAGATTACTTCCTTTGGCGGCCTAAGTTTAGTGTTCAAATTACTATAGTCATGCAATATTGAAACTGCCTCTGCTTTCCTCCTCTACTGAAATCGTAGTGCCACAGTTACTCAGAAACATGGCTGCCGTTCCCCCCACCCCGAGGTCGGCCAGGAAAGAAATATTAGCATCTCAGGCTTTATGAAGCTTCTGTATATGAATTTTCTCCATAACCCATTGAGTTGTACTTTATAACCTTACACCTTACCCTCTTGCTCTCCTTAAGTCTGATATGACCATTATAAACTGCTTCTTTTTAGACCTTAAAGAAACTATATCAGCTCGTAGTATCCAATGAAAAAGAAGGAAGACAGTGTGCAAAGAGGCCACAGCAGTTTTAGCTCCATAAAAGACAGACTTTCCAATGACTTGTTGCAGCTTGTGGGTGACTGCAAGAGAGCACCTGGAACACCTTTACTCCAAAGGCTTTTGCAACAAGTTACTAGATACACACGGGCACTGGAAGGCAGGGCACCCAGTTACAATACTCAGAGCGTGGTGTCGAACACCTAACGCAAACATTACAGTGACATTTTAAGAAACAGTCCCTTTTTCTAATGCACTTTTGCAGACATCGATCCTAATGACATCATCCCTACATGTGCACCAGGGCCTCCAGTAACTGAGACACTGGCTGGTCTGGGTTGCAGAGACTATGGAACCACACTCGTGGCTTTTCACACTGTGTGTTTATAGCAAGATACGCAAAAAGATAGGGCTAGTAGTTTTAGGAAAGAAAACTTCTCTAACCCTTCACCAAACAGTAGTTTTAAAGCACTAATAAAAGTCTCAGCAGAAGGATTTAACCACTGCTTCAAGGTCCAGCACAAATAACGCCCTTTTGTTACAAAATCATTAGCATGTAATTCTGTAACATGACAGTATCACACTCGAGCACACCATGCGACATTTTAAAGGAAATGTTCAAATTAAAACTGTAAATTATTACTCCCATATTATTACCCTACCAACGACACGCAGGCGTTACTTCTGCCAGACCCTGTATTACTACATATCTTTACCGAGTAAGACCCAACATGTAAGAAAGCTTGCTACTGATTTTTACCTTATCTTTTAAATGACATTCTTCGCTGACATAGTCAAAGAAAGGGTTACTCCAAGATACCATAAGGAGACACTAGTATATTTTATCTGGCCCTGGGTTACATTTATAATCACTGTCAACCCAAGGAGCCACAGAGCCTGTGCTGCCCCATGAAGTCTGGGGCTTATTTCAGGACATTGACTGCCAGCCTTGAAGAGCCCTGTGTCTGGTGACCGTGGTTTTAAACCACGTGGTCGCAGCATTTCTGTGTAGCTGACCCTATAAATACTTTAATGCACAAAGCAATAAGCAGCACAGATCAAAGATTTAATTATCAAATCAGGTAACTACATTCACTGTATTTTACCATTTTTGGTTTTTTAAAGAGAATTTCTATCATAAAATTGGTTTCCGTTAATATAAACACTCATTTCAGTAGTTTATCCCTTCAGTGGTGTTTTTCTGCACACTGCACACGTCAAGGAAGTTTAAATGGCCAGCTGCAGACTGGACTACTCATAAGCAGTTACCACAACTCAAAAACTAAAAACAGGAAGGGAAATGATTTGTAGAGTCACAAATGAGAAACATCACAATTTTAAGTTGTAGTTTGAAAAAAAACTTATTTATAAGAGAAAGTTTTTCCGTCGGGCCAAATCAATTATGACATTCAATTTTTACTTTTACTTAAGTGGAAGTATTATAATCATCTAATGAAAGCTGATTTTTAAAATTCAAGTACTATTTTTGCCAATGATATTGTTTTACACACCAGGTTTTTATTTATTACAGCAAAGAAACGACGACTTCATTGAGTTAGACTACACCATTCTCCTTCATGATATTGCATCTCAGGTAAAGTATCATCACTTAACCTTCATGTGATGCCACTTTGAAAATCAATACTTGTTTCATAGCTACTATGCCTTATTAATTCTGACTCTAAATCAGAATTCATGTAAATTCAAATAGGCACCAGGTATATTATACTTGTAACAAATGAATTTATGTTGTGATATTCTTTATGAGGGCTATTTTGTTTCTAACAAAATGTAAATCCAACTCTGTTTTCTCAATTTTATCATAGCATTAGTTTCCTTTACTTGCAGGAGATTATTCCTTGGCAAATGCAAGTTCTCTGGCATCCACAGTATGGCACTAAAGTAAAACATAACAGCCGTCTGCCAAAGGAAGCACAGCTGGAATGAGCGAAGACCCCGTGCTTACTACTGAGGTGTTCGTCACTCTTCACTGACATCTAGCGTCAGGGACCGGGCAAATCCCAGTGTCAGTCTGTATAAATGTCTTCATTACGGCACAGAACTGTACAGCTTCCATAATAAAGAGTTTCATGATGTAAAAGTATCTTATTAACAGTAATAGTGCTGTGCATATCCCATAATAAAAAGCTTCAATTACAGCCTCATAGTATGTTCCATTGTGCAGCATACTTACGGGACAGGGGCAGTAATGGTCTCTTTGAAAGCAACTTTTGGCTTTCCTGTGATACAAGGACAGTCGTATTCTCTTTCCATCCTCTAAAAAGAGCAGGGGAAATAATTTTTTGGTGTGTTTAAATTTAAAAAAATAAAAATAAAATAAATCCTAATAATCTTAATTATTGGAAGCAGTTATTTAAATATGATAGACAAATGATCAATCGTAAACCATTTAAATATCTTACAAGCATTAGCTACATATTAAACAATAAAACTGCTTTTATATGTTCTATATAAGTGCGTTCTAATTTAGACTGATTAATTTACACTTATATCCATTTGATATATCCTCTAAAACTTCATCTTTTTTCCATCTTATTACCTATTCACTGGAATAGTGTATGGATCTGTTGGCAGAGTTTTGTACTGTCTCAACTGCAAAGATATGATCACAGTTAGAATTTTTAATCTTAAGTTACGCATCTTGTTTTCATTCACGAGTACACAGGATGTTTCCTAGGAAAGTACATAGCCTATCTACCCATTCTTTTTTAAAATATATTTTATTGATTATGCTATTATAGTTGTCCCATTTTCCCTCTTCATTCCCCTCCACCTTGAACACCCCCTCCCAACCACATTCCCCCCTTTAGTTCATGTCTATGTGTCATAAGTTCTTTAGCTTCTATGTTTCCCATACTATTCTTGCCCTCCCCCTGTCTATTTTCTACCTACCATCTACGCTACTTATTCTTTGTACCTTCTCCCCCCCTCTCCTTCTCCTACTCCCCTGTTGCTAACCCTCCATGTCGTCTCCAACTCTGTGGTTCTGTTTCTGTTCTAGTTGTTTGCTTAATTTATTTTTGTTTTTGTTTTAGGTGTGGTTGTTAATAATTGTGTGTTTGCTGTCATTTACTGTACATGTTTTTTTATCTGCTTTTTCTTAGGTAAGTCCCTTTAACATTTCATATAATAAGGGCTTGGTGATGATGAACCACGTTAGCTTGACCTTATCTGGGCAGCGCTATACCTGCCCTTCCATTCTAAATGAAAGCTTTGCTGCATAGAGCAATCTTGGATGTAGGTCCTTGCCTTTCATGACTTGGAATACTTCTTTCCAGACCCCTCTTCTTGCCTGTAAGGTCTCTTTTGAGAAATCAGCTAACAGTCTAATGGGAACTCCTTTGTAGATTACTGTTTCCTTATCTCTTGCTGCTTCTAGAATTTTCTCCTTCATTTTAATCTTGCCTACTGTAATTATGATATGCCTTGGTGAGCTTCTCCTTGGGTCCACCTTCTTTGGGACTCTCTGAGCTTCCTAGAAGTCTATTTCCTTTGCCAGATTAGGGAAGTTCTCCTTTATTATTTGTTCAAATGACTTTTCCACTTGTTGCTGTTCCTCTTCCCCTTCTGATACCCCTATAATTCAGATGTTGGAACATTTAAACATGTCCTGGAGGTTCCTAAGCTTCTCATTTTTTTTGAATTCTTGTTTTTTTCATTCTTTTCTGTTTGGTTGTTTCTCTCTTCCTTCTGGTCCACTTCATTGATCTGAGTCCCAGTTTTCTTCCCATCACTATTGGTTCGCTGTGCGTTTTCCTTCATTTCACTTAGTGTAGCCTTCATTTGTTCATCTGATTTGCGACCAAAATCAACCAATTCTGTGAGCATCCTGATCACCCGTGTTTTGAACTGTGCATCTGATAGGTTGGCTATCTCTTCGTCACTTAGTTGTATTTACTCTTCATCTACCCATTCTTTTATCTATGTTATAATGATCTCCAAGTACTGACTTGAGTATAAAACAGGCAAGAAGTGGCCTGAAGAGTGGGAACCAGTGGGCCGACATTCTCAGCAAGTTTCTCCCTGCAGGCTGTCTCCCTAAGGCTGGGACCAAGATATACTGAACCTAACTAACCATGACCTTGATGGATGGATGGTCTTATTACAAAACCCCTGCACCTTGACTCTAGAAGTCTGCAATGCTTTACAAATAAAAGGACTTACAGAGCAAAAATAACTAATTTGTAATACATAGTAGAGAAAGCAGTATACCACATCTGGATACAAACCAGAGTGAGACTGAAAAGCCACTAGTAGTTTATGGACATTATACTGAAAATTACAGTTTTACTCTTAACAAAACACAAACATAAATAAAATCAATTGAATTTAATTTCCTTGTTATTCATTACCTGAGCATAGATTTCCAGGTGTAATTCTCCCATTCCAGAAACAATTGTCTCTTTGCTCTCGGTGTCAAAGTGAACTTTAAATGTGGGATCTTCTCTTGTAAACCTACCGATACCTTTTGAAAATTTTTCCAAATCATTCTTTAAAAAAAGAAAGTCATTACAGAGTTTACTAATCATGATAAGCAGTGGGACTGTTGAAAGAACTTCACTGCATAAAATTAAATACATATGCAGTTAAGAAATAAAAGTAATCTACCATCTAATTCCTAGAAAGTAGCCTTTAAATATGTGAGCTTGGATACTACCCAGCCAATAGAGCTCAAAATAGCTAGCTGATGGAATTTTCTTTCCATACCAAGATACAAGAGCCTAGGACTTAACTCGATGCCCTCTCCTATTACACTGACAAAGTCTGTCCAATAGTGGAAAACTGCCCATGAAGCAGAAAGTAAAATCTGTGTTACTGTGTTAGATTTCAGGAATCCTATAAATAATCAAAGGATTAGGCATGTTTACCAAGACTCTACTGCAGATTCAGAGGACAGTTAAGACCAACAGTAAGGCAAGTGCCACACTGAGACTTGCAAAACAATCTGTTTGGAGGTGGTTTTATATGCACCTTTATTCTCTTTAGATGTAATTTCCTTACAGGGGGAAGCAGAGTAACAGCCCTCGAAGGGTATGTGCTCAACCCCCAAGCCTGTGAATGTCGCTTTCCATGGTAAAGGGCGCTTTGCAGTGTGATTAAGGGAACAGACATAAACAACTCGGTTGGACCCAAAGTAATCACATGTCCTTTTAACAAAATGGGAAAGGAAGGCAGAAGGTAAGTCCGAGAGACATGAAGAGGGAAGAGGCAAGAAATATGCAGGGGTGTCCAACCTTTTGGTGTCTCTGGGCCACATTGGAAGAGGAGTTGTCTTGGGCCACACATTAAATACACAAATACTAATAAAAACTGATGAGCAAAAGAAAGGTTTCAAGTACAAAAATGCACAGTTTTGTGTTGGGCCACATTCATAGCCATCCTGGGCTGCATGCAGCCTGTGGCTTGGACCCCCCTGAAAGCACTGGAGGGCTCATTTCACTGTCGCAGGCATTGGAGATGGGAGGAAGGGGGCGGGGCAGTCTCTCGACGCCAGGTACAGCTCTCAGGTGAGAGCAAGGAATGGGGACCCCAGTTCTGTAACCACAAGGAACTGAATTCTTCCAACAATCTGAGTAAACAAAAAAACAAACCGTCCCCTGGAGCCTCCAGAAAAGAAGACAGTTCCGCCAAAACCTCGATTCAAGCCCATTAAGAACTGCATCGGATATCTCACCTACACAACTAAAAAATGACACATCTGTGATGTTTTAAGACACTAAGTTGGTGGTAATTTCTTATGGCAGCAATGGAAAACTAACACACCCTGAATCACCAGCATTAAGTTATTACATATGCCTGGAGCTGTGTGTTCTATATTCTGTAGATGCTATCTCCAATTCTAACTGCAATGCTGCAAGACAGACTTCTCCACATTTTACAGGTGAGGAAACTGGGCACAGAGAAGTGATGTGACTTGCTCAAGACTGCACAGATGTGCATGGCAACGCTGAGAATGACCCGGGGTTAGTCTGTCTCCAAAGTCTTTTCCCCTTTTCCTTGTACTTGTCGGGTACTCTCAGCTTACTAGATCATCCCTGCCTCCACTCCTGAAATGCACAGCTTTACGCAGTGATGTGATTATTTAATTTAAATTAATTCACTTCAGCAAGCAAATCATCCTGAGACCCAAAAAAACCCTTGGGATGTTGATGCATTTGATTTCCCTCCATTACTGTGAACTATCAGGACAAAAGTCTTACATAAACTCTGAATTTAGGAATGAAGAGCTTTGTATCTTTAACTTCTAGCCCTGCATATTCTGAAGGGAAAAGCAAACACTTAAGCAAAGTACTTGGAATAAACTGACATCTTACTGTAATAAGATGTAAGGTTTGCTTTCCTTCAAACTTGAGATGGGAGTATTTTAATGTTTCTTGCCACCTCAACATTCTTTTCTATAATGAAATGGTTCTGTAAAATCTCAAGCTGCTCAAAATACATGAAGTAGTAGCTGTTACTACATCCACAACACCAACCAGAATGTGTGCTGTGCATGATAGTTCCCAGATGACATGAGGTCATAGCTCTTCATGCTGTGCATGAATGAGTTCACTTCAATACCACATTAATGTGATTGTTAAGAACATCAAAGAAATTTAAGCACTAAACAATTAAGATTCAATTCCAATGACAAGCTAATGTGAATGCAAACTTAAGCAATGTTGGCTTTGTAAAAAGCTAAATGATATCATATCTAATCATAAACTTGTTATATTTGAAAGTGAGAAAAGCAGTCTTTCCAAGTTATGGCTGTACATTTACTTTATAACTACAACAGATCTAGAGATGCATTATAATCCATGAGGCAATTAATCTATGCAGTATTCTCATGTGCTTCACAGTAAGGTTTTCCTCCAACTTAGGACAAATGCCTGTTCCCCTCGTCCATCCTCTTACGATCTGAACCTAGGAAGTCATGCTTTCCAGTCTGGAGCAAGTCACAGCTTTACTTAGTAACGTTATGAAGCAGTCTTGTAAATACCATCAACTTCTTTAAATACACTGAGGAGTAATTACTGTTAACTGACTGGTAAATTTTAAAAAGTGATCTCAACACCAAAAGAGGAAATAGAAAATGTAAGATTGTTGGTTGTCACAAGATACCATGTGCATTCTGGAGACAGATGATAAAGAACTCAGCCCTGGCTAAGGAGGCTCAGTGGATTGAGCGCTAGCCTGGGAATCAAAGGGTCACTGGTTCAATTCCCAGTCTAGGGCACATGCCTGGGTTGTGGGCCAGGTCCCCGGTAGGGGTTGTGTGAGAGGCAACCACACATTGATGTTTCTCTCCCTCTCTTTCTCCCTCCCTTTCCCTCTGTTAATAAATAAATAAAATATTTTATTTGAAAAAAGTTCAAGTCTTTACTGTGATACACTGGGTATTAAAGGAAATTCCTACCTTGTTAGATGGCTTCATTGCTACTGAAATGACAGGGTCAGGAACATGAATTGACTCCTAAAATATTTTTTAAAAAACAGAGAAGAATTCCAATTAGTACTGAATGAATCAGAGTCAGGGATGGATTAATCTTAATGGTCTGTTTTACAACAGAAAAAAGTACTAAACATCTTTAGGCTACGCAACATATACCCTAGAGTTAAAAGCATGTATTATATGCATTAAATAAATAAAAATACTAATACATTCATAAATAAAGGCATCCATTTACATGATCTCCTCCCTCCCAAAACAATGAAAATAAATATCTATTTATTTACTTAACTGTTAATGACCCTTAAGTCTATCGATACTTCCAATTTAACACATTATAATGAATCCAAATGCTGACATGTAGAATTCTTATTGACTGGTGGCTACATTTACTGTTGCTATCTTCTGATAAGTTATTTATTTAATCGAATTATGATCAATGATAAGAGAAACAGAGAAAGGGCACTAGATTCTTTATACATGATACTTCATTTAATCAACCACAATTCTGAGAGGCGGATATTATTAACCCAATTTTACAAATAAAATCTGGAAGGCAAGGAAAGAAGAGAAAATAATGTGGCCAAAGGCTGGTGGGAAATACAGGGCAGGCTCTCACCCAGGTCTGCTTGCTCAAAGCCTGAGCACTTCCCGCAACCCCTGGTGGCTTCCTACTGCTAATGACAGGCACATGGAGAAAGCCTTATTAATCATGGCAGTCCTCTTACCCAGAGCCCCCAAAAGCCTGCACAGATTTACTTAATTTTTGTACTGTCTTACACCAACATTAAAACCAGATATGAGACAATATTTTACACAAAACCCTGCATGATAAAATTATGGGTCTGTCGTACAATCTGGGACTACTACAGTGCTCATCTGTCAGGGCTGGACCAGTTCTTACATAATGATGATCCACGGTCAATTTGTTCCCTACAAATTACCTATCCTCTGTGTAGTCATATTCTTTCTCTACTAAATTCAGTGGAGTGTCTTGTTGTATGTGGAACAATCTGTTCTCTTAATGGGACAAAACTGGACAGTGAGTGAAGGGAATTCAAAGGCAGGAACTGCCGAAGCACGTGTGGAGGAGAGACTACTCCACGGCGTGACCACTGTGTGGGCTGAGAGCCGACCTGGGCCAGAACGGAGGTGGCTTACCGCCGAAGCCGCTTAGAGACTCGGACTCTAACTGACGTTCACTCTGACATAAAGAAAGCGCCCCTCTCTTGCCTCCTGCTATGAGCTGGACCCTGGAATGGGCTGATGTCTCGACCTGGTCAAGCACGTTACGTAATTTCCACATCAGGAAGCATTCCTGTACTAGCACCTGTGACTGCTCCCCTCTTCTTACTCTAGAGAACAATTCTTTGGCACCTGTTGGAAGGGCAGAGACTACCCACCTCATCTTGCAGCTGCCCAAGATGTGCCTCCTATGTAAGCTTCCCTTGAAAAACACGGTTAGGTGCCAGACTGGAGTGGCCTGCCTCTTTTCCAGGCTTTCCCTGCCCTCCGTGTACGGAGGTAGATTTTCAGTCCCAGGGCTTTTCCCAGGGTCTGTCTGTACTAACAGCATGTGTTTCCCTTCAGGGTACCTCAGTGATAAAAAGGGACCTATGTGTGCCACAGAGCAGGCTGTCTGACTGTCCAGTTGCATCTTGGTTCCCTTCTGTTATATTATAGCCAAGTCTAGTCTAAATGTTAGTCTGCTCTTACAGTTCCTGAGGGAAGGGTCTACTCCGGCTGCTGAGTTACTAAGGGAGGAGCACTCCATGGGGACCAGCCTGGGGATGGTGACAGCAACCGGAGACCTACCCACGATGGGGAGGCAGAGCTCAGGAATCGGAGCTACACAGTCCAGGTGTGTTTTCCTGTGTAGAGATTTCCCCCTGACACTAGAATCCCTGGAGGATCGTGAACGACTTTCCTAAGGAAAGCCAGATAAATTAGCTCACACAGCACACTTGTCCAACTGGCATTTAAAGAGTCACAACCAATCTGTACTTGATGTTCACAGCGCTAAGCAATGAAAACATTGTGGATGTTTCTCTGAAGTAGTAAATGTACTGCATACAAACACAGACCTTTGAAACTCAAGGGGTAAACAGCTTTGAAATTAAATGACTTACCATAGAAAGTCCACTATTATCTTTGTTTGTGAATGTGTCTCCACTGGCACAGTCAATGCCAAACAATGCACAGATGTCTCCAGCAAATGCTTCCTCAACATCCTAAATAAAGAAATAACAAGTAATACAGATCAGACCAGGGCAGCTAGACAGAACTTGCACACTAAGCCCACTGAGCATAGACAAACATGGCAGAACCTCCCCATGAATTTTGTAAAGAATGAATTAGCTAGAACCAACGCAACACCAACTGTGGCAAGACATACCTTAAACCGGGCCCTTATTTAAGCCCCATTTCAACAGACACGATTTGACTCTAATGGGAACTGAGCCACGGCAGCATTACTGGGCGTGTCTGCAGTGCTGACAGAATGCAGAGCCTCCCGGTTCTGCAGTTACTCCCAGGGATTAACAGCATGTACTATGTGTGTTGCCACAGTCCAAGGACAAGATGCATATGACAAAGGTGCACGAGAAAAGCCTACAAAGGAAGTTCTGAAAACAAAGGCAGGAGAGTGGAGTCCCTTTTACTTAAAATAATCTTAATTTCTCACAGATGGATGCAGCTAAGAAAACAGGAAGTCTAAGAACAAAGCATTGGCGCCTCTAAACTTCCTTGTTTTTGTCCTTTTACATGATAGTTCATTCATACCAGCTGTGGCTGTGAATGAGCAAGTTTGTGTGTCTTACTTTAATGGTTACACAGCTGTACAATTCTCTTGGTTTCTGGCCTATGAAACAGCTGTGACAATCATTAATCCCTCTGGCCTGCCCCCTGCTGCCTATATCTCAAAATAGCAATTTGGTCCAATTTTGAAAGACTGCCTATGCATCTTCCAGGAGCTACAGAAGTTACGAGCACCAAAAATTACTGAACATCCGAAGACTTTGCTTAGACTAAAATATCTCCAGGAATATGGAACTGAACTGGGAAAAGGTGAGAGAAGGAGATAACCTCACACACTTGGTATTCCTACCAAGGCCTCACCCTGTGTGTGGACCATAGATGGCTGGGACAGATTCAGAACCAATTCAAGAATTCAAGCCAAAACGTATCTCCCAGACCAGATTTCAGAGGTCTGAAACCTGCAGATGGACTCTTAACACCATTTTGGCCATTCTTGGGGTGGGTTCTACAAATATAAAGTTCTAGCATAACACAGAGCTTTCGGACCAACCATATTTCAGAATTTTTTATTGAACAAAATGGGACAATGTATGAATTTACTACTTTCACCCTTCAGAACCACAGTTCCACTGTCCTAAAAACCTACTGTATTCTGTGTAACGACAGCTCTTAAAGATAGTGCTGAATTTGTGTTCTGAGTTTTGGGGAACTAACTGCCCCCTCTCCTTAACCTCGGTGATCGAGGAAACCCAGCTACCTCATGAACAATGGTACGAACTGTGTGTTCTTAACATCTGCTGATGCAGCCCACAGTGAAGTGCTACATCAGAATTGTACCACACCTAACTACAAAGGAAGAAGTTAGGAAAACACATTCAACTGCAAGTGATTTTCTTGTGGGGCTTGGGGTACCAAGAAGGTAGACCTATTTTGCCTGTGGTAAAGAAACCTCTGACCTCACAGTGGCCAGGCACTTACCTCCATCATGTCCGCGTGCAGGCGCACCAGCCGTTGCACCCGCACTTTCTTTCTTGTCCGTGTATTGTAGATGGTGTCACCCTTCTTCAACTGTCCTTGATAATTGCGAACGTAAGTTAACTGTCCAAAGCGACCTGCCTAGGAGTCAAGATTGAGGAGGAGCAGAAAAAAAAAACAAACCCATAAGAATCAAAATCAGGAGGAAAACTTTACAACTCTGTCCAGATATTCCCTCGCCAATTTTAGTAGTTTCGAATATAGGTAATTAAATGGTTGTGTTATTCTTTTTGGTATCACAATCCAAGATAATACTTCTGCTCTCTCTAAAATAAATGTTATTAGAAAAAACTTTAAAATTATTTATTTAAGGAACTATACTTTTGTCTTCTGTATTATTTTATAATTTCAGTTTAATATAATAGGACATAAAATAAGGTATAATTATTGGAAAGACAACAAAAATATCATTAGAAATAATAAGACATCTAAAAAAATTTGATAATCACCTGGAAATCTTACAAGTGAGAGTTTTGTAAAGTAACTGAATATAAAATGAATAATTAAGGGTCAATTCCTCCTGAATATTAATAACAATAAGACACATATTTAAACCTTGACAATTCTTCCCATATTAATTTACAGGTTTAACACAATTGCAATCAAAATCCCAAGAAAAAAATTTAAACATTTGATTAGTGATCTTAAAAGTCATGTAGAGGAATAGGTAAAAAATAAAAAACTTGTGAAAATGTATGTTAATGAGAAGGAACTAAAACTAATATTAAAACATTTTGAATCCTCCACAATTTAAAAAGTATAGAACTAGCACAAATTAGACTGAACATCCCACCAAGTATGGTATACACATCTAAAATGTTTAATTCATTTATCAACAGGTGATACAGAAGACATGGCAACCAACGGAAAAGTGCAACATCATTCAGAGCTGGTCGCTGGACAACTCTCCGAAGAGGTCTGTTGGGCCCGCCCCGGTGCACACAGCACACAGCACACAGCACAGCCAGTTCCAGTTGGGTTAACAGTAAAAAAATCCCACCATAAAAAAGTAGAAAGTAAGAAGTATTTATTAAATATAGTCAAAGAAGAGAGTTTCTAAGGTTAAAATTGAAAGAATGACTAAAGACAAAGACTCACAGACTTGATTATATAAATTTTAAAGCAATGACTGTTTTTAAAAAATTCACTTCATTAGAGAAAGCTCATACAAGTAAAAATTTTTTACCCTAATTTTTTTATAAAAGTAGCAATTACAAAGGAATTACAAAACACAACTGCATAATACAGTATATGAAAAAATATTCTCTATCATTAGTAATTAAGGCAAGGCAAAATATTAAAATAACATTTTTCATTTAAGAAGTCAGCAATGATTTTAATAATAATATTCTGCTGATAAAGATCCATCAAAATAATCTAATACATTAATTCTGAGTATGAAAGCAATTCGGTGACACAAACCATTAAATATTAATGTATTCTGTAGCTATATAATCATTATTCTGGGGATCTTAAGAAAGTATTCCTAAATACGTATTTTTAAAAGCTTTATGTATAAAAATTGTCACTGCTATGTTATTTCTACTTTATAATTTAAAATTACCTTTTTTCTCATTTTACTGATACTAAAAATTACATTATAAAAATTTTAAAATTTGGAAAAAGCCCCCAAAATATAATTCTGTCCATACCACTTCCAATTTATCCACTTTTCTTTCCCCACATAAAACAGTAAGATCAGAAGCAAAGACAGCCCAACAAAAAAGCGTACCCAGTGACCAAATCTTGATATCTGATACCATTCTCTTTATTAAAAGGAACAGGACTCCTGAAGAACAGGCTGATTCTAGGGCCAGGGCAGGGAACACTCAAGATAAGCCTGGAATATGCTGTACTGCCAGAAAGGGAAGGAAGCGGCCAGAAAAGCAAACACTGGGGCACGTCACAGGACCCAACTGAAAGAGCTACAAGGGCAAAACCTGGCTAATCTAGGCAACAAAATAAGTAACGTACTCCTGAATTGTAACTCAAAGTACCAAGCATTATATTTTGCTGTGTATAATGCGCACTTTTTTGCCCACATTTTTGGGGGAAAATAAGGATGTGCATTATACATGGGTATAATGATTGCAAGCCATGGGAATAAATGATAATCCCACGTATGGTGCGCACAAAAATGTAGGTGCGCACCATACACAGCAGCACAGTACGCATGGCAAAATGCAGCACATACCCTAAGTCCATACTGATGTAAACAAATGACTGAACACAAACATAAACGGGGAGAAAAGACAACTCTCCCACACAGAAGAACCCCAGACGGCCTGGGTAGATACTGCTCCCTCAAGGAGGCGGAACGTAATGTCCACTCCTTAAGTGTGGGAGGTGCACGGTCACCTCCTTCTACAGAGTCAGAATGGAAAGGGAGAGAAAAGAGTAACAGCGAAGAAACCTATAACCAAATATGTCATGAGAGTTATCTCATAATAGGAATAAAAGCCTGAAGGAAAATTTCTACATATAACAGTTAAATACATTAGAAAGCAACTTACCTCCAATTTAAAAGCCAGGCCTACAAATGGGTGGGAATTGTCTCTCTTGGAGTTCATTAAGATTTTGGTTTTCTCTTTTGAGTCACTTAAAGTAAAGCAAATATAACTCTGTGAGATGCAATATTTGATATTTTATATCAATTTGTTTCATCGAACCATATTATCTGAGAAAAAGCACATGTGCCAAACTCTGACTTCACACATTAGTGAAGTTTCACTGAAAGAAATCTGTAAGAATAACTTCTATGGCCTTAGTCATTACACTGTGACAGATGCAGAGGAAACTAAAAAACCCACAAAAATGGTCTGATAGAGAAAGAAAAGAAAGATACAATGTCTGTCCAGAAGGTATCCAGCCATGTAATATTAAAATAGACATTCACTGAAGAAGGTACAAGATAGAAGAAACATTGTACATAGGACAATGATGCCTCAGTCTCCTTCAAAGTAGACACCTTGGGACTTCACAGTTCTCCCAATTGCCATCAGCTGCCTGGTCATATTTTCCTGAATCTCATCGATGGTCTAAAATCTCTTCCCTTTCAAAGATGATTTTAGTTTTGGGGAAAGCCACAAGTACAGGGTGCCAAATCTGGGCTATAGAGGGGCTTAGTCACCTGGGTGACTTGCTGTTTCACTAAAAATCTCTGCACGAGACATGATACATGAGCAGGCACATTGTTGTGATACAGCTGCCAATCACCAGCTTCCTATGACTGTGGCCTTCAGAATCATATGAATAGTTTCTGTGGGGGAATATTCAGGCCTAACACAAAATCTGATGCAGAACTGTTGCTCTACTCGAGTCATCTTCAATGCGATGGCCACACCATACACATGCTTAGTCAACGGCATCCACCACCCCCACTGAGTAGCCCGGTGAAGTCGTCATTGTTCACTCGTGGGCATTCCAGTCCACTCTCCTTGGCTTCCAGGTTTACATCAATATTGTGCAAACCATTCTCATTATATTAACAGTGACTGGACTTTCTCTGGACAGACCTTGTAATCAATGAGAGTTAAAAAATTTTTTTGCTACATGTAGCCTTTTTTAAAAAAAATTATGACTGAGAACAGCTGGTCCCAAATTTTTCTAATGATATAAACCTTGATGGAAAATAAAACAAGTAATACTTCTAACTCACCAATACAGTGTAATATGGGAACTGGAATAATAAATATTTTTGTATGTGCCAAAATTGTTACCCAAATAGAAATGGTAATTGTTTTGGTAAATTATGAAAAATAACACAAACACAACTAAAAGAACACTTCTTGCATTCTCTCATAGTGCATACATGTTAAAGTATTTCTGCATAAACTAAGAGTCTGTTTCCGAGACTTACTCCTCCTGATTGAGAATGGCATAATTCTGGACTTCAGATGGATTGGGGAGGTATTCTAAAACAGCGTCTAGAAGAGGCTGAACTCCTTTGTTCTTCAAGGCACTTCCCACAAAGACAGGAGAAAATGACCTCGTTAAAGTAGCTCTTCGGATTGCAAGCTACCAAAAAAAAAAAAGATTAGTCAATCCTAAATGATTGTCATATACTTTATGTTTCAGACCAATTACAAACTAAAAAATCAAAGAAATTATTAATACTCCTTGGAGTATTGGCTCTAGTGGAGTATCAGGTCCTCTATAACTTACAGTCAAAATACAAAACAAAAAGAGAAAAAACAGATGCCTTTTTAGAGCTAGAAAGCTGCTTTCAACACTTTTGGAATGTCACTAATTTTTAATTTGATAAAAGTATATATACACAAGTACATATATACACACTTAGAAGACACACACAGAGAACAGTGTAGACAGCACACTATGTGAAACACTATGCTAAGTGTGTAAAATAAAGAAAAAAATTTATGTGTGTGTGTGTGTATCTTGAAAGATACACCGGCAACTTATTAACTGGTCACCTATTTCGGGGGGGGCAGAAAACTAAGCAGCTGTGTACTTTCACATATTTTTAAATGTTTAAACCATAAACATTTAAAAATGTTCCATTTAATAAAAAATTTAGTGTCATATAATAAAAAATATTTAATTAACTGCTTAATTTTTTTAAAGAACATACATATTTATTGCTGTATTATTTCTATATTTATCTTCTTTCTTAATAAAAATGTACTCAAAAGGTTGGCTCTGTAAATGTCTTTTTTTCCTAGAACAAACTATGACTCCCTTTCCATTTTAAGATATTATGTAACTTAGTTATATAACACAATATATATTATGTAACACGTAACTGAGTTATATAGAACTCTTACATGACAGTAATGCATGTCAAGTATATTTTGAAGAAACCAATTATGTTAAATAAATTACTCCAATTTCATTAGTAAAACCCATGCATAAAAGCATCATATTCAGGTCCACCTGTGCTATCACAAAAGGTAAGATCTCTTTTTCTTTTTTAATTTTTTACGGCCAAGCAGTATTCCATTGTGTAAACACACTAAAAAATAAGTAATATAACTTTTTTAAAAAAGGCATCATGTTCATACCCTGAGAAACAAAACTTCCTCTCCCTCTATTGTTGATTAATATAAGACTTCTTTTGAGAACACTTGCCTTTAAATCAGAAACTGAGGGGATTTTCTCTTCCAGGAACATCTCACCAAGCTGCTCGTCTGCATTGGCAACACATTCAATCAGCTCCTGCCGGTGGTCAGCTGCCGCTGCCCTGAATTCTGCTGGGATCTCCTCATATCGAACAATCTGGCTAAGAACAGAAATGGTTTATTTTGGTACTTTAAGGACATGCAATCAAACATATAAAGCACCAGTGAAAAAGTTAAACTAATAGCTAATAATCTAGATGAGAAAGGACTCTGATATATTGGTATTAACATGGTAAATAATACTGATAGGTATCTTTAAAATTCAGACAGCAGGCAACACAGGCAAAGCGAACTGCTCCAGGCTGTGCTACTAGTAAATGGAAGAGCCAAGATTCAAAGCCAACCTCACTCCAAAGCCATGTGAACACCTCAGTATTTTATTACCCAAATTAATCAAAACATCACAGTCTCTTAACAGGCAGAATTAGAGACCTGACTATCCCTTTCCATTCGTAACAAACCCAATCACGTAATTTTTAACACAGACTACCCCATCTTCTAGTAAGAAGGGGGCACTAAACAGGACAGACTCATCCACCTTGGCACCGGCTCTCCCTTCCTCTGGAGGCCAAAGGGGTGAGAGTCACAAATAAAATATGTACGGTGAATAAGCAAATATACCTGATATTTATAAAATTGAAGTTTTCAAAGTATTTAAAAAATGAAACTAATATCGAGAATAATCTTTTCAGAAAAAACTATAACTAAATAAATAATAGCTAATTGCAAATAGTTCTAAGGAATGTTTTTCATAGTCTTTAGAGCTTAATTTCTTCCTTTCTAGCAAGTTCTCTGGTTCTTTGACTTTTACATCAGAATCATCAAAATACACAAACCCAGTGGTCTAGGGCTGGGGAAGGGGGCAGGTTTATCAAGAAGGTCCCATCTGTGGTTCTGATGCGGTTCTGGAGAAGTGGACTGACTGATTTATTTACAAGTATTTGTTCAGTCCCCACTATGCACCAGAGAGCCCTCTGGCTGGTGAAATAGCAGTGAGCACACCTGATAAAAATCCCTGCCTCCTGGGCCTTGCACCCACTTGAAGGAATAACAGGCCAACTCTGCTGTCATCACTTAGCTGTCACACACAAAGTGTGAGAAACACTCCGGCTGTGGGACAGCCCTTCGAGATGGCTGCTGAAGAGAAATCGCTGTTCAATGACCACGAACACCCTTTACCCATCGGCCAGGACAGCGACCCCAGCTCATGGCAGAGGTAGGAAACTGCCAGGCTGCTGGGGCCACTCCTCAGAGCAAAGGTCATTTACGACCCACACTGTCCAGATCAGTGCCACCCACAGGGTGGTCTGCAGGCCTGGGACAGCAGCATCACTGGGAGCTTCCGGGATGCGAACTCCAGGCTGAATGCAACCCTGGGAGCTACTGACTCGATCTCTGCAGGTGGACACAAGAGTATGTGTTTAACAAACTCTGCGGGTGATTTTCCGAATGCTACGGCTTGATGACCACTGAGCAATTACAGTACTTTGTATGCTAAAGTCACCCAAAAGTTGACTGACAAGCCAAATACCGTGTCAGTTATCCATTTGCTCCTTGTATCGCCTAAACATCTGTACAACTTCTGCCTTTTATACATTAATCATTTTATCTTTGTAATGCCATGAAGTAGGTAGAGGAAATACTTATGATTCCTATTTTCTTACCAGTTTTTATCACAATACCCAGTACACAGCTGCTCCCTCAAAGTCCACAGAATAAGTGAGTTGATGAATGAATGTGCACTACACCACCAACCCAAGTTGAAGGCCTTCTACCACACCGTCCATGTCATAACGTGATATAAATATATTACCCAACAAGTAACACAGTCTCCCTTTGAATGAATACTAAGCAAAATGGGAAGCAAATGGAATTAAAGGCATTAAAACAAAATCATCTTAGAGGATATTCTTCCGGCAACATTTCAAAAAAGTGTCTATGTTTGAAGAATTCATCCTTTCCCTCCCTTTAGTACTTTCTAAAATGTAAGAATTTAATGGTATATTTTTAATACTTACCCAAAGTCCCCATCAAAATAGATGGCTCGTTCTTCTATAAGATCTATAATACCTTTAAAATCACCCTCCAAACCAATGGGTATCTGCATAAACGCTGCATTATGACTTAGTTTAGACCTAAAATAAAGATAAAAATGAGTCAACGCCAGATGTTGCAGACCTGGGAGGGTGTCACCAGCAGGACAGAACAGAGGACAGAAAGCAGCTGGGACAAGACTGACAGCCAGACTGGGCGTGCCCAGGAAGCCACAACCCTGTTTCGGCAACAGAAGCACTCTGAAAGGATGCTGGGATAACCACGCCCACAGCGCATCAGCCAACTCCAGCAACAGACTACAGCTGTCTGGACAAGTTCTGACGGGAACCTCTCAGCGCGGGTGTTGAAGTCAGACACCGATCATCAGCCTGTGACCAGCACCAGGCACAACCGCTGACCGGAAACTGCGCTCACAGGCCGGGATTCTCACTTGAGAAGAAACATGCTCTAGCTCCCACTGTTTGCTATGGACGCCAGGTGCCCATCTACAATTATGGACAGAAAACACGACGTCCCCAAATATTTGAAGGAAACCAATAGCTTAAAAGAGACATGAGAGTTCAAGAAATAGTACTAAACTCCAAGGAGAGATTTACTAGAAGAAATAAAATGTAAAGGTCTGAGAATTATCTCTATTAATAAGAATATTGCAATAAAAGAGAAATTTTATATAAATTAACTATATAATTGCTGAAATTAAAAAGAAAAACACAGACTAAATCACTGCGGGGCTGCAGATGAACAGCAGGTTAGTGAACTGGAAAACCGACCTCAGTAATTTACTCACTGCTCATCATTATAAAATAGAGACAGAAAGCAGAAGAAAGTATGGTAGAAAAGTTAAAACACAGAGATCAGATCCAGAAGTTTCGAATTCTGTTCAAGTGGGAGTTATAAAAATGAGAAAACAGGGGAAAAGGGAGTGATACAAACCAAAGTGGTCAAACAGATGCTAAAAAAGAATGTTCCTAAAATTCAGAAAAAGGCTTGGCAGAGTCCCTGCACTGCCAAGCACAACTAAAATATGAGCAATAAAGGTAAAAAGTGAAAATGTTTCATTTTACCAAGAAAATATTGAAAGTATCTAATAAAAGTTTCACTCTCGTATTCTCAAACGCTTCACTTGCATCCGAGTGCTCAGAGCGGCACAGTCACTCAGAGTTCCCCAACACCGTCTCTTTTGTCATCACACTCAGTCTTCCCGCTCCCATCACCTCCGCTGCCCACGGCCATCGGCTCTGCCCTGTGTGAGCTGGGCCAAAACTCCGCAGCTCCTGTCACACCTCTGCAGGGGGTAAAAAGTGGAACTCTGACTCTTTTCAAGGCTGGCTGAAACACCCAGAACTGTGCAAAACGTAACATGCTCTGCAACGCACTGGGCTGTCTGGTACAGAGAGGAAGGGTTATGTTGTCCTAGCAGCTGTGTCACCCTGGGAGCAAGGGAACGCAGCGTGTGCTTGGGGGCCTCAGGTACATTCCTCCGGGGAAGGTGAAAGTGAAGAGGATCCTCTACATTTGTCTAAATAAATGCAAAGCACTTTTAGAATCTACTCTAGGTTCTAACTTCTCTAATCACAGCAAACCAGAAACCACCAAACTGTTTTCTGAACTCACCTTCAGCATCCCTATAATTTAGGTCCCATTCTCCCCATTTTACAGAAAAGGCAGTTGATGAGATCACACCACCAACCAAACTACTGACTTCAGTGTTCCATTTACTAAAGTAAGTCACTCACATAAACACATTTTTTTAAGGAGGGGAAATGTAAGAATAAAGCGTAATGATACTGAATGAATTATCCTGCAAACAAAGTTTGTTATCAGATCACCACACCCACTCTGTCCTTTCCCAGGTTCGGTACCTCATTTGCTGCAGGGCCCTGGTGGGGCTGGAGCCCATCCGGTCCAGTTTGTTAATGAAGGTTAGAAATGGAACGTTGTAGCGCTTCATCTGCCGATTCACAGTCATGGTCTGGCACTGCACCCCTCCGACCGCACACAGCACGAGGATGGCGCCATCTAACACTCTCAGGGCCCTTTCAACTTCTATTGTGAAGTCCACGTGCCCTAGACGAGACAGAGAAGTGCGTGGTGGTCTTAAAGAGCAGTGTGCATTTTTATAACATGTATGATTAAAAGTCTTCGTATCTCTGCTCATCACATAAGTCTTCTAATTAGAATGTGAATTTTTTAAATCACCAATACTGCTCATCACCATAAGGTCCAGGGGCCCCACAAGATCGCTTCAAAGAGATACAAGGGCACGGGAACCTGTGGAATCAGCTCCCACACGTGACAGGCACAGCCTTCCCACTCACGATTTACTAGCACTGTTTTCCAGGGAAACCGCAGGAGGACGAGGAGCTCTAGGAGCCAAGTCAAAGTTCAACAGGGACTCAGTCCCACTTTTGAGTATTATTTGGTACTCGAAAACGAGCTGCATCAGAATAGCTAAATGTGGTTTTGCCCAAACAAGCTGCAATAAAACCAAGAACTGAACCCACCAGGCGTGTCTATGATGTTGATATTAGTGTCTCTCCACACGGTGTAGGTGGCCGCCGACTGAATGGTGATTCCTCTCTGTCTCTCCAGTTCCATGGAGTCCATGACAGCACCAACTCCGTCCTTCCCTTTCACCTAAACACAGACACGGCAATTCAGATTGCTCCATCCTGCGCTCCAAGAAGCAAAGAAATCTTTACTGAGATGCAGCCAGAACACTGATGTGATTTGCAGAGAAGCCTCATTTGTGAAACCATGTCACCTCATGAAACAGAAAACACTACAGGTTTTGCCCTCCATTACTTGCCTAACCCTGTTTGCACTGGCGTCCTCAGCCACTACCGCCAGAGCAGTCACCCCGTCTGAGAGCCATCCCTGCTCCTTCTGCAGGGTCCTGTCCTCCAGCCTTGTGTTGGTCTGTGAGCAGATGTTCGGAGAACAGAATTTTCCCTGCTCTGCTGCACATGGATTTTGAGGCCCAAGTGGGAAGAACTCAGCTTTTAAAGCATGTGATTTAAGAAGATGATCTTTATCTGAAGAAATATTTTTAAATGGAAAGTTACGTTACTCAATGATAATGGAATTCCTTCAAGAAAGTTTCAAGATTTTCTTAAATATTTTCTTTTCTGATATATTTTTTAAAGGTTTTTTTTTCTTTTACTGATTCTAGAGAATGGGGAAGAGAGAGAGAGAGACACTAACCAGTTGCATCTTGCATGCGCCCCAACTGAAGACCGAACCTGCAACACAGGCAGTTGCCCTGACCAGGAATCAAACCTGGAACCTTTGGGTTTGTAGGATGATGCCCAAACAGATGAGCCACACCAGCCAGGGATGATATATGCATTTTTAACTGTTAAGCCCATACTATGCATCATTTTAAATTCTTTTTTCCACTTAACACTATAAACATCTCTCCATAACATTAAAAATTATGTAAATGCACCCTGGCTAGATGGCTCAGTTGGCTGGAGCATAGCCCCGTACACCAAACAGTTGCAGCTTTGATCCCTGGGCCCAGGCAGGTATGGGAAGGCAGCGGGGCCAGCGGGGCGGGGGGCGGGGCGGGGGGCGGCAGAGGGGGGATTGCGACAAGAAATTGCTATTTCTCTCTCACACTGATGTCCCTCTCTCTCAAATCAATAAACATATCCTTAGGTGACGATTAAAAATATAATAAAAATTTTGTAAGTACTATTTGGATGGTTGCTTAAGGGTACATCATACTGACTTAACATTTTCAAAAGACAATCCACTAGTGCTCAACAAACCTACTGTGACGGTCTAGACAGAGTCTTTAGGGCAACGTTTCAAGCCCATCTGAACTATCCACTTTGGGATAGGAATTTGATTAAACATCCACTGTAACCACTCCTTGACCCTTTCAGGTTGTGAAGCTTATTAAATTGTAACCACAAAACAATGAAAACAAAGCTCTAACTAATCTGGAATCTGTATGAACCGCTACCTCATGCATCTTTGCAATTCTGCCAGTGTAGTAAAGTACTCGTTCTGTCAAAGTAGTTTTCCCAGAATCAATGTGAGCTGAGATTCCAATATTTCTTATCCTTTCATTAGGAATCACCTCCGAAGAACACCATCGGCAGACCTTCCAATTAATCTAAAAAAAGAAAGAAAGTTCAATTCATTGCACAGCAAGAAATTAGAATGGGTTTGGGGGATCTCTCTCCTCCAAGGAGTCTCCATGGATGCAAAACATCATCCCAGACAGCCTGGAAAGGCAAAAGAATAAATGTCTCAACCTGCAACTCTTGGAAGCAAAGGAGAGACTGCAACAAAGGGCAGGGAAAAATAGCCTTAAAAATAAAAAAGGATATAATAATAAAAATAAATCAAACAAGAAAGAAATATTCAAATAATTAAATAAACAGGGCAGATACTTTTACTGGTTACAGGTTTGAAACTATACACTGGGGCTGATAAAACCAGGACAGCTCCCAACAACTACTTTAATAGGAAACAGTTATTAGTTTAAAATTTACTTAGTTTCTTCCCCTTCCCCTTTATTGTAGTTCACCACAAGCAAGGCTGTTCAAGGGCTTGTATGTTCTATGCAGTAGTGAAATTGCTCCCACACAGCTTACAAAAGGTTTCCAATTTCTTCTACAAAAAAACAATTAATCACATTTTTACAATTTTATTTTAATTGTGGGGAGGGGGGAAATCTTGCATTTTATGGAGACAAGACATGACATAAACCTCTGCAGCCACTTCTGGGAAGAGGAAAGTAAAAGACCTTGGAAAATATGGATAAAATATTAAATGGAAACTGGGTGTTAGGCACTTAGTTGAGTCAATGTCTGAGACACCAGCAAACGAAGCAAATGAAGCTTGCGTGATAGGAAAGACTCAACTCCTACCTAACTATACTTCTTTATTCTGCGCCCCTCGCAGAAGGCAGAAACAAGACAACGGAAAAGGACCGGGAGGTTTGAGCGCCAAATCAAATAACCCAGGGTCGTCTGAAAGAGAGGGCAGCCAGACCAATGACGCTCTGTAATGAAAAGAGCGCTTGATAATGAGTAAGAAGGTCTGGGTTCGAGCCCTGGACACACTAATTTTTCAGCTGTCTTGACCTGCGCTCCAGTCACTTCTCTTTAAGGTGGTATACCAAAAAGAAGAGGCTTAACCATAAATCGGGGCACGTCCAACTTCCCAGGGCACCGAAACGCTGTTCAAGAATAACAAGTAATTGTGAAAGCACGATGGGCTTTTCAGCACAGAGGAACGACGCCTGTTTTCAGAGCTGTCAGTAACCCAGTGCCAGGAAGGGAAGGGGTGTTACTACCTCCCTGGCCCCGGAGGGACGCAAGGTTCCGGGGACAGTTCCTAGTTCGGTCCCGTGTTGTCGGGCACTGATAAATACCTGCTTCCCCCTCCAGCCCAGGACGGCCGGGATCCGCGGGAGCGGCCCGCGTCCCAGAGCCGTGACAGCGGCTGCGCCCAGCAGCCTCATGACAAATGCAGAGCCGGTGCGGAGGTTCAGCCACTCCGTGTGTGCTCAGCAACACGCACTGCAGCCAGAGCGTTCAAAGTCACGCTGTCTAATAGTGCCGGACGAACACTTCCGGGGTGAAGGACGAGAGGGAGGAAAAGAAGGGAAAGAGGGAGGAGCTTCCGGATCTCTGAGCTGAGCGGCTCCAATTGCTTCCCGGGCGCCATCTGCCGACTAGGAAGAGAAAGTGCTGTCGGCACTAACTGGGCTTTTGCATACTTCCAGAAAGATGCAGTCTTTAAACGTCAATGTTTTGCTGATACAGCAATGTGGAGAAATGTTTGTAGCAGAATTTAAGTGAAAAAATGCAAAATTGTTATCTATGCTAATACAAATAAAAAAAAATATTGTAGGAACTGACCAGAAAAGAATGTGGGGAAATAATGACCCATCAATTATTTGTGCATTTTCTCATTACAATATATTCTGTCATTGTTTGATGTTGAACGTTATATGCCCAGCCCAAGGAAGACAGTATTCTTAATAATTCCACTTGAGTCTCTTAGTGATATCTCAAACCTAATATGTCCAAAATAGAGATCTTCTGGTCTTCCTCCCAAACACTTCCGCAGTCTTCATTGTATAAACGGGAACAACGTTGATTGCCCATACCAAAAATGTTAAGTCACTTTGATGGCACTCTGACACTCCTAATCAGTTAGCATATGATATAGGCCCTACCTTCAAAAACAGATCCAGAACCTGCCCCTTCTCCTCACCTCTCAAGCCCTGACACCTCGACAGAATTACTGCAATAGTCCTTGTTGGCCTTCTTCCCATTGTCAACACAGTAACTAAAGGATCCCTTTAAGCAACACTCCATCCAGTGAATTCATTGTTGCTGTTATCTCTACTTTTGTGTAGGTTTGAAATTTTTCATAACTGATTAAAAGACCTCTGTAACAACTTCCCCTCCTTGTCAGAGTAAGCACCCAGCTGCAGGGCTCTGCTTGAGCAGCTGACAGTGTAGCTCTGCTTCCCTTGCTCTGTTGCTCCAGCCACTTTGGCCTCTTTGCTTAGCCTCCCATGACCGGAGTGCATGCTCTTCCCCAGGCACCAGCTTTTTCCACTTACTTTCTGCTCTCTGTTCAAACAGCCTCTAGGTGAGATGTTCCCTGACCAACTCTTCCAAAACAGCAAGTTCCTCTGTCTTCTCATGCTACTTCAATTACCTGCAGAGCATTTCTTAGACATATCCAGACATTTAGATACCTGTTTATTGTCTGACTACCAGTGAGAATGTCAGTTCCGTAAGGACATGCTTTGGTTTTGTTAACTGCTGTATCCTCTTGCATGTGCAGAGTGCTCAGTAAGCATTCGTTACATGAATGAATGAGACCAAGTGAATAGAAATCAGAGAAAATCACAAGGGACAAGAAGAAAATCAAAGTCTCAATGATGAATTTTGAATGCACTCTTTGCATATCCATGTAATTTGCAATAAAGGGTTTATGAGCTGCTTTGATAAATCCATTAACATTGACTATAACTTTAAACTTTTTCACTTATAGACTTTTAAAGTATTTAAATCTTTATATGTATGTCTAAAATATATAAATTAAATACATAATTATGTAAATAGTAATATTGTTTTTTACTTTAATTTTAAGATAATTATGTTAAATAAAAATGTATCAATTGACATTGAAATTACTACTTTAAAATTCCCTTCAGTAAAAATTCATACTCATTATCTGTTTTCCTATAATTATACCAAGTATATTCTGAATTATTATTTTTAAATATTTTATTTATTTTTAGAGAGAGGGGAAGGGAAAGAGAAAGAGTGGGAGAGAAGCATCAGTGTGTGGTTACTTCTCATGTGTCCCCTCCTAGGGACCTGGCCTGCAACCCAGGTATGTGCCCTGACTGGGAATCGAACCAGCGATTGTTTGCTTCATAGGCCTGTGCTCAATCCACTGAGCTACACCAGCCAGGGCTATTCTGAATTATTTTTAATACCACTTTTAACCAAAGTAGTCAATTTTTGTTTTCTCCACATAAAAAATGGAAAGACAGAAAATGAACCACTGTTTAGCTCAATTTTTATGAGTACACATTATAGATTACCTCTTTTAAGTTATAAAGAGGTAAAATATAAAATATATCACCCACCTATTTGCACAGTGAGCAATTCATAGTCATCATATAAAGCATAAAAATGAAGACAAGTTGAAACTATCTTTAGTAACCAAAGATTTGTATCACTTTTACTTAGAAATTGTCCAAGTATCTAAGGGTTAACATTTCTAAGGTTTTGAAAAGTTAACTGAGGATCTGAAAAACTAAATTTAGCTAAAATGTAGATAAATTTTGCTAGCTAGAGCAAGCTTTGCACTGATAAAAGATAAACTAAGGCATATTTTTGTTGGAGCAAAATCGATTGCAATGGGCAGCATCAATCCGTAAGTGATTTGCAGCTCTCCACCAAGGGCAGCTGGGGAAAGACTTACAAGGAGGCAAAAGCAAAGCAGTGAAAGTCTTCGACTGGCTGTAGCTTAACCTGTTGCCTTACTTAGGAAAGCCTATTTGGCTGTTTGTGATTGGGTGTCTTTAGGTTTCAATTTCTTCACTTTGAGCCATTACAGGCTCAGGTTTTGCTTTGCTCCCAGGGGCTACTGAGGCATGAAAGCCACTTCGATCTAATGGCCTCCTTGTTTCATTAATTTAACAATTCAAATATGGGAGTATCCATGTAAAAGTCTAATTACTTTCCCTCCTCAAGAAGAGAGTTTAACTATAAGCTGTAGAGTTAAAAAGCCCTGAAGCATGAAAATAGAAGATAGGCAGCTTCAACAGAAACAAAGTGTTTGTCTTCAGATAAATGACATGGAGGCTTTGGCTGTATTTTTTGGTGCAGTCTTCTAATGGGCCTCTCAAGGGAAAGTCTTCGACATGCCACAGTTCCCCAAAGTGGTCACTGCGAGGCCTTGCTGAAGTTATGCCCGAGATAATGCAAATCTATCAGCCAACAAGCCCATGAAGAGCTGCCTGGTGTTCTGTCGAATGTGGGGCATTGTCCGTCTCAGGCTGACTACTGACCTGAGAAACCTGTGGTTAGAAGGCAACATGCGTGGGCAGAAGGATGCTCCCAAAGCGAACTTCTCATACGAAGGCAAGCCTGAAGTACATTTTCATGAACAAATAATATAAGATGGTGGGAAGTCAGACAGAAGGTGGCAAATGGGGTTTAAAGCAAAATTCACCAGAGGACACGAAATCTGAGAACCCCCAAACCCCGCGTGACATCATTAGAATGCAGATCACTGCAAACCTATGTAAAAGGGGCCGTAGGAAGTGTTAGATACGTACATTTTCACCGCAGTGAAGGTCCTGTTCTTTGCAGTCCAGGTCAGGCCTCAGTAGAATCTCCCAACTGTCCTAGCCTGATCAGCCTGGGACCACTATCTTAGTTCCTTCTGGTTGCTGTGACAAAAGTACTCTAGACTGGGTGGCTTATAAACAATAGAAATTTCACATAGTTCTGGGGGCTGGGAAGTTCAAGAGCAAGGCCAGGAAATTTGAAGTTGGGTGAGGAACTACTTCCTGGTTCAAAGGCAATAACTTCACTTAGTGTTCACCTGGGAGAAAGAGCAAGTGAGTTCTCCGAGACTACTTCCTGAAGTCACTATTTCCCCGCTTTGAGGGCTCCACCCTCTTGACCTAATCAGCTCTCAAGGCCCCACCTCTAAATCCCGTCATACTGCCACGTGCACAACACCTTTGGACCCCAAGGTGCTCCCCAAATTGCCCTGTGACAGTACAGGACAGTGGAGTCATGAAGGTCATGGAAACTTATCACTGGGACTTGCCAGCACCAGGAAAACCTTTCAAGTGGCAAGGAGCCTAAGTATGCAACTCAGCCTTATTATTAAGGCCACACCCACCAAACTGTTAATATCCTTGCATTCCCAGAAGACCCAGAGCTCCAAAAAGATCAATGTTGCCCATTAAGGAAAAATAATACAATATGCGAACTGCAAGCCACAGAGGGCCTTCTTTTTGATGCTGGTTGACTTCTGCACTATGGTAAAAATAAATTCTGGAAAAAAGACAATGTCAGCATGATGCGAATGTAAAAAAATTTGACATTTAATCTCTGTATGTCTAGTGGCCCTTTAGGAAGCACTGTGGGATAAGAAATACATATATTTACTTCAATTTTTATTTAATTTTAATGGTAAACAAACTAGGAGGAAAAGTGTCCATGAATTCTCAAACTACTATATGATGCACAGAAGTTATACTGTTTTAAGTACAATTATTTATGAAAGTACCTTCATATTTGAATATAATGATTTCAGTTATCATGAATATAATGATTTAGGCAAAAGGAGTTTCATTATAGTGTCTACTCTCGAGGTTTTACTCTATCAAATGAATTTCTACAAAAGTGTTCTTTAAAATTTATGCCTTACAACAATCACCCAATTGTTATAGTATGTTATGAACACTAAAGTGTGTAGAAAAGAAAAAATTTAAACATCTTTAATTCTTGTGCACTTTTTGTTATAAAAATTGATACATATGCACCTTATCTTAGTGACTAATTAGAAGCATGAAACAATGATTAGTAACATTAACAAGAGACAATGCAGACACTAGAAGAGTATGAGCGCAATCACATGATTCTACCTCCCAAGCAAAAAAAGGACGCTATTTGAATTGTAGAGCGATAGTGGACTTTCTGCTTTATTTTTCCTCTTGACACAACAAAGACATAAGGGATAAAGTTTTAGATTCTAATAAAGTTCAAACCTAACTTTTATCAAAACAAATTAATGTTTGAATTCTAGAATAAAAACGCTAGAGCTGACTTTGTAAATGGTATAATTAAAAAGGGAACAACTGAATTATTAAATACCTTGCTCAAACACACACATCACCTGTCTAAGAAATTTTGAGACAATCAGTCATTCGGGTTTGCAGAATACCAAATGCATTTTTCTAAATGTCACAGAAAGGCTGAGCAGGACACTCTCTTCAAGGACACTCTGACTTTAGAGTGTTAACCACAGAGACAGATTAAGCTGTTTGTAAGACAGGAGAGTGGAAATATGCCATCTTGAGAAGTTACACAGAAAGGTCAATGTAAAGTCTAATAAACGTTAAGAATATAGGACAAAAAATACTATATAAAAAACTACAAGAAGGAAATTCACAAAAATTAGCAATTGAAAATATTTCTTTAAAACAAACTATTTGATTCTTTATTTTCTTTATCAAAATAATAACTAATTTCTCATAAGACAGCACTAGTATAGTTTTGCTTTATCTTTAAAAAACTCTTGCCCTGGCTGGTGAAGCTTCAGTGGATTGAGTACGGGCCTGCGAACCAAAAGATCATGGTTCGATTCCCTGTCAGGGCACATGGCTGGGTTGCAGGCCAGTTCCCAGCAGGGGATGCACCAGAAGCAACCATACATTGATATTTCTCTCCTTCTCTCCTTCCCTTCCCTTCTAAAGATAAATAAATAAAAATAAAAATAAAAAAAGCTCTATGCTAGCTGGCATTACAACACATAACATTTGAGCTAAATAATTTTAACCTTTATTAGCATGACTCTAGTGTAGTGTTAGTAAAAATCAAGACCACTTTAACAATTTAACTTTCTTTTTTTAAAACAATTTAAATTTTATTTTTATTTATATTTAGAGAGAGAGGAAGAGAAGGAGAGAAACATCAATGTACAGTTGCCTCTCATGTGCCCCCAAGTGGGGACTTGGCCTACAACCCAGGCACGTGTCCTGACTGGGAATTGAACCAGCGACACCTTGGTTCGCAGCCCACACTCAATCCACTGAGCTACACCAGCCAGGGCACAACTGAACTTTCTTGTAACTAATTATATAAAACTAGCTCCACATTCAATCTTGTATAAAAGAATACCTAGCCAATCAGAAAATAACCGGAAAAGCAAAATCAAGCATGTGGACTTTAAAAACAGTATGTTTTAAAGTAGAGTTTGATAGAATGTTTGACAACTTTGCCATGTTGTTGAAAATCAAAGTTTTATTCTTCCAGTAGGGACAATTATAAAGCTAGCACTTCCATTACACTGAGATATCAGAAGAAAATTGCAAAGTACAGTATTGATTTAACGACAAGAGATTGGTCTTATGTGTATTACCCAGCACCATTATTTTCTCTGTTAAAACAACCCAACTAAACACTTCAAATGCAAGGCTATTTATTTTTTGTTGATTTTCACAGGTGAGCCTTTGATGTTGAGTTTGTCCACAAAAGCATTTGCTCTTCTTCCATATTCAATGGCTGGACTTTGATGAGGTTTCTCCCTGAGAAATGTACATACGAACATTAATACCATTTTTTAAATGGTCAATGGTTTACAAATCAATGCAAACATGTTTAAAACCACTGTGAGTTAAGCACAGATTTATCTTAACAGTTCCTTAATGGCTTTGAAAAACACATGGCGGACTATTTCGCCTAACATTTAAGGAAGTGGCAGCTGCTTTCCTGAGAAAGATTTCACCATGTAGGGTTTTGACCATGCTGCCCAACGTGGTAGCCATATCACTTATATTTAAATTAATTAAAATAAAAATTAAAAATTCAGCTTCTCAGTGTCCCGGCCACATTTAAAATGTGACTCAATAGCGACATGTGGCTACATTTTGGGGCAGGACAGATACATAACATTTCATCCTTATAGAACATCATTTCAGAAAGTTCTGCCACATGGTTTTACTAGTTTACAGAAAATGCACCTCATAGGACCATAGATTTAGAGATCATCTACCAAGGACATGCTTTCTTTTACTGGCACCTGGATTTCGTAGTCAGTCTTATCACTGTTAGGTTTTGATCAACAAACTTTTTAAAGTGGGACAAATATTATCTAAAGTTAATATGGGAGCAGATTTTCCATAGTAAATATTAGGGCTCTAAACTCCTAAACAAGTATTTTAAAATGAAAGATGCTAGCACATAGAATTCTGCACAGACTTTCTGATTTATTTAATAACCCCTGGCCCCCCACCGGCTGTGTGAAGCCTTCCGCCCTATGCATGGGACCCCCCTCCTATACCCCCAGCAGGCCTGCTGTTTCAAGGCCTGTTGAGGTCTCTCTCTCATGCACGTGTAATTTCAATAGGAATTAGGTATCGTGTTCTCCATTCCCACACCCAGAGACCCAAATTTAAATCGCGCCTCTAGAAAATACACTAAATGCTAAACACTCATACACTAAACAGCTATACTTCGCAGCTATTCCAAAGGTAATTCCAAAGGATGAATAAACAAGTGTCTAAAAGTACATTTAGACTTTTATTAAATACTGCTTTTTGACTGATTAGGAAACTTTTGTTAAGCCTTTCAAATACAGTCCTTTAGCCTTTATCACCTCTCTTGATACCAGTGTCTTTACCTGACGCAAAATGTGACTTCCACCTACTGTATATCCACATTGAAATCTGTTTCACAAGAAAACTACATTGTAGCACGTCACTGTTCCTTGGAGAATTCAGCCCTTATCTTCTGAAGGATAATCTGAAGTGAGTTACTAATCATGTAAGCCAGAAATAGTATTGTTTTTAGGCATAAAATTAAATTTGTGTGGTATACCCAGACATAATGTAAAATTACATCTTTCACAAAAGATACTGTTGACAACAAACCGCTAGGATGTTCATGGGAACTTCTTGATGACAGAGGTAAAATTACATAACCTTTTTTTCCTAAGTCTTCTTAAAAGAACAGCATTTATTTTAGAAATAATGTTTACCTTCTTTTAAGTTCTCGGAATCCTGAATCCTCATGCCCAGCGCTCCGCACCCTGGTGTTTTCCAGATTGCGCCACCGTCCCCCCGGTTTGTACTTTAAAACCTCATTTTGCCACTCATCGTCAAAGGCATGGGCATCACCTACACTCAGTATTGAAACAAAGGGCAAGTGTTAAGGCACAATTGTCAGTAAATGCCTTGCTCCCCAGGCACGTCACACTACCCTGATCTGTCCATCAGCCTAACCTCAAGGTGGAGGCAGAAAACTGCTTCAGCTATAAAGGTTCTGACTCAGGGTGATATCGCCTTTTCTGTTTGTTCCTCCTGACAATTTTGTTTTGGATGATCTGGTTTCTCACGTACCTGCCTGCATATCATATTACTCTACCCAGTGGAGCGCTTGACCCAATTCACTGACTTGTACAGTCTTTATTACTGGGTTTCCCGTAGTGATCATCTTTTTCTCGGCAAGTAAACACTCCACCTGTGGCCAGCACTTCCTATTAACCTTACCATTTTCCTATGTCACTTTAGCCTCATACACTTCTGTTGTCAGTGTCTGAAGGCAAGTCTCCCACCTTGACTGTCAACTTATGTTATTATGAAATAGGTAATCTACCTTCCATAATAACAGCAATAGGTAAATGACAACATTCATTCTTTCAGATTATCTTTATCATAATGTATCCCTTCACTAAATTTTTCTTCAACATGTTAATTATGGCGAAGTATTCTGTACATATTTCAACGTGACATAATTACAGAGGTTAAAATTACAGAAAGGTTAAGACATTGTGGCCTCCATCTAATTACACAAGAATAAGTTTATCAAACTCCAACCCTAAGAGATATTCTTTTTCTAAAATTATACAATAATTCAAACCCTTTACTATGATAAAATATATTTATTCAGGATATTTTCTGAAAACAGGAGATGAATATAACTTAAAAACAACAATGATAAAAGTTATGATACAGGAAAGACAAGTTCTTCAAGAATGAATATAAAATCTAGACAGTTGAGAAGATTTACTTGATATACACATGATATGCTATATATTTATAATATATATTTCTAACAATACCAGATATTACAATTTTATCTACATAAAAGCTTAAATATCCAACAATATAGAAACTTTTAAATAAATTATGGCATATTCATGATAAAATTTTTAGGTAGCCATTTAGAATGCTTTTGAAAAATATAGATGACTGTTCACAATCATAATGGAGAATTAAAATAAGCACAATATAAATTATATAGATAGTAAAATATTAACTTTTAAAAAGTAGGTATATTTATTTATACATGAAATTATTAAAGAGAAATACATTCAATATTTAAAATTGAGATTACAGATGATTTTAATTTTCTTCTTTATGTTTTCTTATACTTTTCAAATGTACTTCTTTGAAAATAAGAAATATTTAACACCCATTTTGCTTACTTAATCTTAGTAAATAACAATTCAAAATATTCCATTTTCCAAATAGAAAAAAATAAATGATACTGAGCATTACCAAAAATTACTATAAAAACAGATCTGTTGTGAATTATGAAATCAAAATTACATTACTTTGTTAAAGTATTGCATACACATTCATAAACTACCTCAAACTGACATTTTATGAAATGTTTCTATGAAACACATTTAAGGTCCAGCAGCACCAGGTGCTGCTTTGACTTTAAGAGGAGGAATGCCATCTTCTGCAATAACTTACTTTCATTCATATTGATGAACTCCTGGTTGACCTCTTCATCTCCGGTCTTGTTGTTCTTTGATTTCTTAATGACATGAGCTCGGTCATGGAGATGATGGCCAATGGCCATTTTTTCTACTCCACTGTCAGAGTCTCTCAATGCCTTCCTAGTTTCCTTTATCTGTAAAAGTAAAAAATAAAAATTACTTATTATTACTATTACTTATTATTATCTTTCTTTTACATTTTATTTACTTATTTTTTGAGAGATGGGAAGGGGTGAAGAAAGAGCAGGGGTGAAACATTGATGTGTGAGAGATACATTGATTGGTTGCCTCTCACATGTCCCCAACTGGGGACCCAGCCTGCAACTCAAACATGTGCCCTGACCTGGAATTGAACTAGTAACCTTTTGGCTCACATGGCAGCACTCAATCCACTGAGCCACACCAACCGAGGCAAAAATTAACTACTATTTAAACATAGAGAGAATGGATATAATTCTAAACTCCTCAGGGACTACTCACTATAAGAATAAGACCCTCAAGTAAAAATAAACAATAACTCTACTGGTATAAAAGTAATGGATACTCAGTTCCACTACCAACCTGCAGTAAAATTATGGTAATAGTGCTGATCTTTCCTGAACTGCTTGAAATTAAAATGCCCAGGACAAACAGAACCAATACAATTTAACCTTTTCAAAAGTGTAATAAATACAAGAACAAAGAAAAGCAATGAAACAAAGCGCAGTGCCTTCTACACTGCCGTTGCACATGTGCCGGAACAGATGGGAAGCGTCCAGCAACGTGCCTGCGAGTGACAGCAAGTGATGACTCAGCAGGCACGTCGACGCGATTGAATCTCATGACTCCCACCTATGAACCCTATGGATTATTAGAATATCGACGATAGCCCCAAACTGCTAACATGGTTTGCTGTGGGATATCTCATTTATATTCTGTTTCCATTTAAGAAGCATGTCACTTACAACAAGGTGAAATTACAACATCTGAGATGAATTAGCTGCACTTGCAAAAGCATGATTAACAGGCATACCTTATATGTAAGAACTAAAAAAATGAACCACTCACATCACTGGGACAGGCAAATCTACTTTTTTAAATATAAGTACTAACCAAGATAGGGAGAAATGAGAACTCTCATACCAGAGTTGGTGGAAGCTGTGAGAGTAACTTAGTAATTTCCAATGAAAATGACACAAATCTCCTACAAACCAACAATACTATTCCTAGACCCCTTGCACAAAGAGACATGTTTAAATATGAATAAATAACAAAATTAGAAATACCTCATTACTTATCAATAGAAAAATAGATTTTAAAACTGTGGTATATTCATATTTTGGATACTGTTAAGAAGGCAAAGAAACCAGACATACACATATCTACTTGACTAAATCTCAGAAGCATATCATTGAGCAAAGTCAAGTAGCAGAGGACATGCAATGTGAAGCCATTTATACAAAGTTTAGAAACTTGAAAATAATTCCTTATATTGTTAATGAAGCACATGTAATAAAATTGTAAAAACATGCATAAGAACAATAAATTCCAGATATAAGAAAACAGCTCTCTTTGAGGGGGAGAAAAGGAAATGGGATCAGGAGGGCAGAGTGTACTGGAAGCTTTGACTGCATCTGCAAAGTTTTTGCTTCCAAAGAAAATAAAAAAGAGGCCGCTTAAAGCAAATACGGAACCACTGCACACTGGTCATCATAAGCAAACCAACAAACAATAACTGCTGGTGAGATCATGGAGAAAAGGGAACCCTAGTGCACTATTTATTGGTGGGAATGCAGATTGGTGCAGTCACTGTAGAAAACACTATGGAATTTCCTCAGAAAACTAAAAATAGAACTGCTTTTTGCCCAAGTGATCACACTGCTGGTATTATACCCTAAGAATCCTGAAACACCAATCCAAAGGAACCTATGTACCCCACTGTTCATAGCAGCACAATTTACAATAGCCAAGTGTTGGAAGCAACCTAAGTGCCCATCAGTAAGTGAGTGTATCAAAAAACTGAGGTACATTTACACAATGGAATACTATGCAGCAGAAAGAAAGAGGGAGCTCCTACCCTTTATGACAGAATAGACAGATCTGGAGAGCATTATGCTAAGTGAAATAAGCCAGGTGACAAAAGAATAATACCATATAATCTCACCTATAAGTGGAACCCAGTCAACAAAACAAACAAGCAAGCAAAATAGAACAAGAGACATTGAAATAAAGAAGAAACTGACAGTAACTGGAAGGTGGGGGGGATAATGGGAAAGAAGGGCAAAGGTCATCAAGGAACACATATAAAGGATCTGTGGACAAAGCCAAAGGTGGGGAGGACTGAGGGTGGGAAGTGGGGGTGGGTGGGGCAGGAGAAAGTGGCATCAGGAAAATGGAGACAACCGTACTTGAACAACAATAAAAAACCCAGAAAAAAAAAGAAAAATGTGATTTGACTAAACTGGGTGAAAGGAATATCATACGATTCTTTATATCCTTTCTGTCTACTTGTAATATTTCATGAGTTGAAAAAATATATTTACTTCAAATATAATATATTAAAAGTAGACACTTATTTTATGAAACATAGACTCCTTTCAGTGTCTACGTAACTGTCAACATGTAAAGGTACTACACATCAATAGATAGTTACATGGAAAAAACGTGGGATTGGGGAGACAAGAAATGCTTAATTGTTCTTCACAGTAACGTGGGTCTTCTCCGCTCCACACACCCCGAGTACCAGGTTGGATTTTAATAATTAGCATTTGGCATAGGCGCTCTACTTTCCCACAACTTTATAAAGCTCTAAGAATGCTTAGAAAACACTCACTCCTCCTGGAGCCCGACGGGTTTGAGTTGAGGCCTGGAAAACCTTGGGTGGTTCGTCTCCTACTTTGGAATAAGTCATAACTGAGGAAGAAGTAAACGAATGTCCATTTGGATCCATTGAAAGGTGATCCTAGAAATATAAGTTGTAAATCCAGAGAGTTTAGTCAAATGAAGAGTTGGTGTCAGAGAACTCAAGTAAGTAACCACACTGACTGGAAGTTCTAGGAAGGACACTGCACCATCAGTACGGCATGTCCAATGGCACCCCAGGAAGGGCCTAACTTCCTTCCATCTTAGCCACCAGTTTCCGCTGTCCTCTCGAGGAGTAATACGTGATTCACCCGAAGATTCTTAAGTCTTTGGGACCTAAGACTTTCGGCTTAGATTTAAATACATTGTAGACGCCATGATAGTTTGAGTCAGTGGTTGATGCTTGTGTGCCAACTTGCCCATGTTGAACCAATCAGTATATACCAAGAGTTTATACCTCCTGTGGGTACCAGTTTGCTGCATTACTAAAATTGCTCTGAAATGATCCTTAGATTTCAAATTAGATGACTAAAATAATATGGATCTGTTTCATATCAACTCAAGTTACTGTTTTGACATTAATATTATGAGCAGAAAAGTAAGAGTTTTAGTATGTTTTTAATAAGTATTTGGACTATATGAATCCAATCCAATGTCTGAACATCATACCTGAGATTTCTATTGTCAGATTTTTTTCTTAAACACCCAAACTTAACTTCCTAGATGACACAATTCCTTTTAAGTAGACATGTTATAAAGTAATAAAAAAATCTAAATTCATATAAAATGTTCAGTTACAGCAGTGACCTTCAGCAGAACAAATTCTTCTGAGGTTGCATTTTTTTCATTTTGAAAATTAATGCTATTTTTTAAACTTGTAGGTTGTGAAACCAATATTGTGGGTTGTGACCAAGATTTTGAAAATATTAAATAAAATAGAAAATATCAGCACATATTGTAAATGTTATGATCATTTTCTCATGAAATATTTTTCAGGTATATTCAGGATCATGATATAAGATGTATTTTTCAACTACTTGTACTGTGGTTAAAAAGAGTTTGAAGGCTACTTTAAAATTTGGTGCCGATAACTGAAAACAATGTTCCCATCCATTTTTTTAGTACTTACAAAGTTTCTTTGTAATTCCTGCACACTGTTTCGCATATTTAACATCATTCGGTCCATGGCCTGAAAAGGGTTGACATCTGTACGCTACAGGGCATTAAGAAGTATGTTATTAACTATAACACAAAAGAAACAAACCAACCTTTCCAAAATTTTGTTTCTCAAGTTATGCAGCAGGATCTCATGCAGTAATTGTCCAAACAAAGATAATTTAAAGACTGTATGATGAAAATGATTTGTTAAAGAAAGAATTAAAGAATACACAAAATCCCAAACGGCCAACTTAAAAATGATTAGGAGGCCATAATACTATAAATACAAGCATATATACACAAACATACAATTGCATCAAAACAGCTTCTTCTTGTATTATTAACTATGTATTATTTTCTGTAAGAACCACAAGCCTACTTTTGCCTCACCCTGTACATGCAAGAACATACAAATATACATACACATGTCATTCGTCAGCTTGCTCAAAACATAATTTAGTTAATATTTAAACACAGAATGATAAGTCTGGGCTGGAATAGCTCTAGCATAGACTAGTCTTTAAATCTTTCCTTCTTCCCTCTTCTAACACCCCACCACACAAACAAATAAAACTTGGGCATAAGATACCAGGGTCACCTCCAGTGCCACGTGGCTGACAGAAGTGGAGTCAGCCCTCCTTTCCACCATCGTAGTGTCCGAGCAATAGGAGTTAACTCACTCTACTAATAGGCCTTGAATTTGTTGCCTAGCACTGACGGCTCAGTAGGGCACGCCTTTGAAGCACAACTATACTCTTGCAGGAGGAAAGCTAATAATCCTCTAGAACAGTGGTTTCTTAGTCAAGAGACATTGTGACTCCAGGGGCATTCTCCAGGGAAATACTGTTTGTCACAGTTGAGGAGGGTGAATGACTGGCGTGTAGTGCAGAGAGGCCAGGGATACTGCTAAACATCTTACCCCTCATGACCAAAGGGTTACAGGCTTTTTTCTCTCTGTGCTCCCACAGCCTGCTGAACTTCCTGACGTTTCACTGATGACCCTGCTATAACTGCTTCTTTTCTTCATTTCTCCCACTAAAAACTTACATCAGAAAGAACAAATGTTATAGGTGAAACTTTAAGGAGACAGATGGCTGAAGTCTGGCACCAGAGAATTAAAACAGAAGTTTTTTTCACGAGAGTGTAGATGCATCCATAGGAAATGTTCCAAAGTCATGCCATTCTCTGCTACTCCTCAGATGGCCTTTGAGTGGGTTAGAAACTAGCATCACAGAAATTAGGACCCAAGCCCAAAGAAACAAGTGGGAGAAGGGCTGGTTGCGGAGCAGGCATATCTGGACGTGGGAAAGAAAAAGCAGCGTGAACAAACTGCCAACAGAAAGCAGATGATCTGGGCTTGTCCAGATGTGCCTGCGTGTCTACAGTCCGCTGCTTCTTCACCCTTTGGAGAGTCACCATAAGCACGTCTCCAACTTTCAGTCCCTTTTGTACATCAAGTGAATGTTCATTCGTGTACAAAAATCTCCTTTTTATTTTTGAAGAGTGATTTTATATAGGTTAACAGCACTTTAGAAAACAGATGCCAAAATGCTCTAAAATAAATTTAATACATGAAACAGGTTTTCAGTACAAATATTAAAAAGCCATTATAAAAGTGAAATTGCATGCCAATTAAATTTGCCTGAGTTAATGAAAAATAAATATCTGTTAAAAATAATTTTGTATGTCTAATGATACGAACCATACCACCAAAACTGCCAAAAGGCACAAGAGAACTCCTTGCCTAGAAAAAAAATCCAATTAATTTTGGTTATGATATTTATTACATGATAATCCTTGAAAAAAGAAATGCATTATATGCTCACATAGTTCAGCACTAATAAAATTACAGAGCTTTTTAATCAAACAGAACTCAACATACATTTTTTTCAATTCTCTGCTCATTGTTCATTGAATAGCCTCGCGGGAGCCTGGTGGACAAATTGGGGAGGCCATATATCACTTTTAAATATGACTACTCTAGTATTTATTCAAGGCAGTTGAAAAAGTATTTGCTATAGATTAAGACATAGATTTATCAAAGGAAAAGCAAATTCACACCAACATTAATTAAAACATAATGTACAATAATTAAGATTATACCATCTTTGCTTAGCTATTTCATATTTTTAAAAGGTCAATTAATCTTGCCTGCAACTGATTAAAAATAAAAATTTATCTACATTAATAACACTTCAAAAAATTTGTAGAGATTTTTGACAAAAAATTTAATAAATACCTCCTAAGAACTAATTTGTTTAGTAAACAATACAAACTTCAGAAAGAATCTCACAAACAGATTTAAAAGTGTTTAAGGTCTTTGATAGGCAAAAGAATGTTAAGTATCAGAATGTTAAAATGGAATAATCAAGTGTAATAGTTCAAAAATTATACTCCTTAATAGGTACAGATGAATAAAAATAAAATTTTAAATACATGTCTACAAATTAAAAACTTTCATTACTTGAGAGTTTCGAATGTTGAAAATAAATTTTGAATTTCTGGGTGAAAGGTATATATAGTCAGTGATAGATAATTTTCTTCTCGTGTAACAATGTTGAAAAATAGAGAAAATTGTTTAAATTAAAAATTATATGTCAAATTATTTATACTTATATTGTGTATCTACAACAGTAAATTCCAAACTGTATTGAACACACCAATAAAATTCCTCTTTTTATTTCTTTTTTATTGACTCTGGCACCATCACTCAATCTAAATGTTAGCTGTCCAGAAGTCACATCTTCCATTATAAATTGCCTAATTAAATACATTTTAAAAACTTCCAAACAAAATGGTGGCATAGGTAAATATGGCTCACCTCTTTACACAACCACATTAAAATTACAACTAGATTATAGAACAATATCAGTCCGAATTGACAGAAATAGAGTTGAATGGAAGTCTGACAACTATGGAATCAAACCACATCCATCCAGACTGGTAGGAGGGGTGGAGATGTGGAACAGGCTGGCCCCACACACATGTGTGATAGATAAAAATTCAGGAGGGATATCTTGGGAGTGAGGAGGCCCAGCCCCACACCGGGCCCCCCAGCCCAGGGCTCCAGTCCCAAGAAGTTAAATCCCCATAACTTCTGGCTGCGAAAACCAACAGGGACTGAGTCGGTGGAAGAAACTTTTGGAGTCCCAAGCACTACCTCTTAAAGTACCATAAAAAACTGAGACTCATTCCCTCTGAGCTTCAGCACTGGGGTAGCAGCCTGAAAGGCATACAGAGCAGAAGGGAAGTGTCTGGCATCAAGGCAAGAGCTGGGGGACAGCTTTTTCCCAGACAGAAAGGAGGGCAGAGACACAGAGCCAGCTGGCAGTTGCCACATCTGAGACTCCATCAACCTGGCTAACACTGTTTGCCTCATCCTGGACATCCCCTCGGGCTCTATCCCTCCCAACTTACAGCTGTTAATAGTAGTTTTTTCCATATGAATGGCTGGTCTAGGCTCAAGCTTCACAACTTCTTATATCCTTCCAAACATGCAACAGCTGGCCTCAGTGAGGCCCCAGTGATACCCCAGCCCCTGTACCTCTTGCTAAGTGGTCCCAGGCAGGGCACTAGCAGAGCCAGCCTAGATTCACAGCTTCGCTTTCCCTGGGGAATCTCCAAGCCCAGCACAGGTTGGGTGTGGGCTGACCCTGGCCTGCATCACCAGTGAAAATCCAAGCCCTGTGCACCTAGTGGACAGCTACAGATCACTTCTGGAGTACCATGACCCTGCCCTTGCATGGCTGATCCCCCACAGAGGGTGAAGGCTAGTGGTCAGTGGTCACACCTAATCTTTGTAACTGACTGGCCTGGGTAAATCTCTGCCATTGATCTGCCAACATCAACCAAGATTCACCTACAAGAGAAGGGTATAGTTAGCCTAAACAAATGGCACACACTGAGCCCCACGATTGGGTAATAGGGGAAGCTGTGTGACTGGACCCTACAGAACACCTACTACATTATGCCACACTACTAAGACAGGGAGTCATAGCAGCTCTACCTAATACACAGAAACAAACACAGGGAGGCTGCCATATTGAGGAGACAAAGAAACATGGCCCAAATGAAAGAACAGATCAAAACTCCAGAAAAAGAGCTAAAGAAAGTGGAGATAAGCAATCTATCAGATACAGAGTTCAAAACACTGGTTATAAGGATGCTGAAAAAATTTAGTGAGGACCTCCCCAGCATAAAAAAGATCTAGTCAGATATGAAGGATACACTAATTGAAATAAAGAATAATTTACAGTGAAACAACAGTAAAATGAATAAAGCCAGGAATCCAATCAATGATTAGGAACACAAGGAAGCAAAATAAAGCAAAACAAACAAACAAACAAACAAAAAACAAAACCACAACCAGTCAGAATAACAAGAGAGAAAAAGAATCCAAAAAAATGAGGGTCGTGTAAGTAGCCTCTAGAACAACTTCAAGTTTTCCAACATTTGCATCATGGGGGTGCCAAAAGGAGAAGAGAAAGAGCAAGAAATTGGAAAGCTATTTGAAAAAATAATGAAAGAAACCTTCCCTAATGTGGTGAAGGAAATAGACATGTAAGTCCAGGAAATACAGAGAGTCCCAAACAAGATGGATGCAAAGAGGCCCACCTCAAGACACATTATAATTAAAATGCCAAAGGTGGAAGATATAGAGACAGTCTTAATTGCAGCAAGAGAATACCAGTTAGTTACGTACAAGGAGGTTCCCATAAAAATGTCAGTGATTTATCAAAAGAAACTTTGCAGGCTAGAGGGGACTGGCAAGACACAGTCAAAGTCAAGAAAAGCAGGGACCTACGGCCAAGATTGCTCCACCCTGCAAAGCTATCATTAGAATGGAAGGGCAGACAAAGAGCTTCCCAGACCAAAAAAAAAAAACCCAATAAAAACAAAAAAACTAAAGGAGTTCATCACCACCAAACTATTATTATATGAAATGTTAAAGGGACTTATTTAGGAAGATCAAAACTATGAACAATAAAATGGCAATGAATACATATCTATCAACAACTGAAATCTAAAAAAAACAAACTAAGCAAACAAGAAGGAAAGTCAGAATCATGAATATGGAGAATGTTTTGATGGTTGCCAGATGGGAGGAGATATGTGGGAATGGGTGAAGAGGTGAGGGGATTATGAAGTACAAATAGGAAGTTACAGAGTAGCCTTGGGGGTGTAAGGTACAGTGTAGGAAATGGAGCAGCCAGAGAACTTATATGCATGACCCATGGACGTGAACATGGTGTAGTGGTTGCCTGAGCCAGTGGAGGGTGCTGGTGAAGGGGAGTGAAGGGGAATAAAGGGGAAAAATTGGGACAACTGTAATAGCATAATCAATAAATTATAATTAAAGAATAAATAAATATAAATATTAAATTATTTAGTTTTAAACATTAACCTACCCAAAATGGAGAACTGCCTTAAAACTAGTCCCATTAAGAAATCATGAAATGAAAAAAAATGCTCTTAAGACGAACGCAAGAATACTGCATAGCTGATGCATAGCTGTAGGAGTCTGTTTTCCCTCATAATATGGATGATGAAAATGACAAGTGTCAGAACGTGGGCCAAAAATATTTTTGAAAGGATTAAGGTGTCTATTTTAAATATATTTAAATATATTTTTCATCTACTATGCTTAAAAGCATCAGCATAATTTCTTACCGCTCCATCAAAACACTCTCATTTTAAAACATAACTTCATGAAAAGAGAGAAGAGCTTTGTATACATTTTTATTAAAAGTTCAAATAAGCCCTGGCTGGTGTAGCTCAGTGGATTGAGCGCAGGCATGCGAACCAAAGGATAGCGGTTCAATTCTCAATCAAGGCACATGCCTAGGTTGCAGGCCAGTTCCCAGCAGGGGGACTCATGAGAAACAACCATACACTGATATTTCTCTCCCTCTCTCCTTCCCTTCCCCTCTAAAAATAAGTAAAATCTTTTAAAAAATTCAAATAGACTGTCCTGACCCATGTGGCTAAACTGACTGGGCATCGTTCCACAAAGTGAAAGGCTATCGGTTCAATTCCCAGTCAGGGCACATGCCTGGGTTGTGGGTTCAGTCCTGGGGGGGTGTGTATAAGAGGTAACCAATCCACGTTTCTCTCTCACTAGGTATTTCTATCCCTCTCCTTCCCCTTCCCTTCCTCTTTCTCTAAAATTTAAATAACTAAAATCCTAAAAGATAGGTCAAATAGATCAGGAGAGGTAGCATGCTCGAAAAGCCTCTGGTTTACTTGGCTGTGCTCTTTTCGAACTTAGCAGCACTGGCTTCCATCTTCTGTAGTTAATTTCTAATTTTTGTTTTAGGCACAGGTATCCAGGAAAGTTGGATTTACTTTCATCTCCAGTGGATGATGACCAGCAAGATTACAGCTGATGTTGATAGGCAGCCTCTATAAGAACTTTACAGCTGAATTAAAAACACATCTCCTTTCTATACTTACGAGGGGATAAAATGGTCACTTCTTGCTTCTTTCACAAAGCTATGAGTGGCGCATTTATGTACATAAATACAAAACCCTGTATAATAGCCGTACTCTTTCCTTGCTTTGGTTATAGCAGATATTCAAGATATTTCAGTGCTCATGTGATAAATAAAATTTCAGAATGTCACATTTGATTTTTCTGCCCTCTTTGGTAATTTTTCCCTGGATCTTAATTTTAGACACTAATGGAAATTGATAAAAGTCAGTCTCTCTCTCTTTATATATATGTATGAACACCACTATTCACTAATTATAGAAAACTAATTAGAGTGTGAATAATAGAGTAAATATGTATATAAAAAAGGATGTGAACATACTTTCACTTAAATTGCAAATGCAATTCTATCCATCAAACTTCTTAGTAGTACTTAAAATATTTTGCTGTATTTAAGATGATTGCAAACATAAAATATATAACTTTTTTCATGGAAGATTCTGGAGCTTTTCTAATTGACTGATTTAACGCTTACTAAGTTCCAAATATCCACATTTCACCTGCAGATTCATCTTTATAGAAACTCCTATGGATTTTGTGTTCTAGAACTACCATTCCTGAGTCTGAAAAAGGAATAAACAGAAAATAGTTAAGATATATAACCATCCTGAGGTTTGTTTTTATGTTGAGTATGTTTGTAACCTTCTAGCTTTGCTCTCAGACAAGACTTATGAAAATACATTGCAGTTACCAAGACTTTTGATATAGTTACAAGTTAATCTAAGTGTTAAATTTCTGAAACTTAGATTGACTTTGAAGAAGTCAATTGACTATGAAGAAGACTGGATTTTCCTTGTTCAATAAGGATAAAGCATCATGCTATAGCTTTGGCTTCTATTTTAAAGTGAAAAAAAGAAAGTGTTATAAGGGATAGGAAGGATATCTCTTTGCCCGTTCTAATTTAAGACAGGTGAACAATTCTAAGGTGAGGACAAATCACAAATATACATATAAAAAATAATGCTTTAAGCTTGGCTTATAATATGTAACCCTATGACCCAAAAAGTTTTGGTGGCACCGTGAAATGCTACACAGCTCCATTTCATTGTGAAAGAGTTCAACTTTCCAACAGGCCCCTCACTTTGCAGAATAGTTATTTCCATAACATATGTTCCAGCCATATCTGAGCATGATAGATATATTCTTCCGTAACACCATTCTTCAAATTCCGACAGGACCTTCTCACTAACGTTAAAAGAAAGAACTTACGGTCAAGTGATTTTCCCCATCATCACGTCCTGTACGACCATGAGCTCTTCTTCTGCCATCAGAGATGCTAAGCAAGTCTCTTCCAAAAGGTTCAGAAAAACTTCTCATCATCTGGCGCATACTTTCTCGGTGAGCATTAAAAGAATCACTGTTGAAAATACATATAATCGTGTAAGAATAAATGTTGGAATTTAAGCAATAAGTAGGCAAATACTACAGAGGTATTTTGAGGAAATATGTTTGTTAAAAGAGACAAAAGGACAATTGAGGAGAATAGAATTACCTCATAAAAACCTGCTAGTCATGAATACAATTTGTGGAAATGGAATTAACTTTATAAAGACCTACTATTCATAAATACAAAACTGTTCTATTTCTTATTCACTGTAATTCACTTATGTATAATAATAAAAATATACCTTCCCTTGCCCTTATAAAATATAAATGATAAACATAAAGTAACACACGTCTGTTAGCAAACACCTGCACTGAGGGCAATGGCACAAAGACTGAAAAACTCTGCTACCAGGTGGAGACCAGCATGGGCAGTCAACAGTATAAATTCTAGTCAGCACTGAGAAAGAATGCTGGCTCATTACTTACTTTTTAAAATTAAATTTATTGGGGAGACATTGGATGATAAAATTATGTATGTTTCAAGAGTACAATAAATCATCTCTGTATTGCATTGTTTACCACCCAAAGACAAATCTCCCTTTTACCCCCTACTACAGCCCCCCACCCTCCGTTCCCTCCAGTGACCACCACGCTGTTGTCTCTATGAGTTTTTGTCTTGTTTGTTCATTTGCTGCTTCCAGTTTTATGTCCCATATCTAAGCGAAATCATATGGTTCTCGACTTTTTCCAACTGACTCATTTTTTTTATTGCTCAATTACAGTTGTCCCAATTCCGCCCATCCCCAACCCCCGGCTGCTTTCTCCTGCCTCCATCTGACTTATTTGCTTGGCACAGCACTCTCAAGATCTATCCATGTTGTCACAGATGAGGGTATTTCATGTTTTCTTATGGCTCAGCAGTATTCCATTGCATACACGCGCCACATCTTCTCCATGCAACCATCTACTGAAGGACACTTCAGTTATTTCCACACCTTGGCCACTGTCAGTAATACTGCAGTAAACACAGAGGTACACATATCTTTATGAATTAAAGTTTTCAAAATGTTAGGGGAGATACCAGAAGAGGGGGTGCTGGGTCATATGGTAACTAAATTCTCAATTTTTTAAAAAGATTTTTTAAAATTTATTTTTAGAGAGAGGGGAAAGGAGGGAGAAAGATAGAAATGTCAGTGTGTGATTGCTTCTCACACAGCCCCTACTGGGGACCTATCAGGAGTTCATTCATTTTTATTGCTAGGTCCATTGTATAATGTGTATATGATTATATCACAATAAAGTAACAAAACTGTGCCTAAGTTTTTGCTGTTATGAATAAAGCTTCTACTAACATCGATGAACTGGTCTTTGTGTGTTCATAGTTTCATTTCTCTTGAGTAAAATACCTAAAAGTGGGATTGCTGGATTGCATGGTAAGAGTGTGTTTAATTGTATAAAACAGTGAACTGAGAGTTCCAGGTGTGCTACATTCGTGCTGACACTTGGTATTGTCAATCTTCTTAATTTTAGCTATTTCAGAGGTGTTGTAATAATATCTTATTGGGCTTTATTTTGTATTATTTGTCATTCATATATCTTCTTTGGTAAAAATGACTGTTCAATTTAAAACACCAGGTTGTTTGTCTTATTAAGGATCTGTACTCTAGACATGACTTTTATCAGATATATATTTGCATTTTTTCCCAGTCTTTAACTTGCTTTTCAATTTTTAAAAAATTTTAATTCAATTATAGTTGTCCTCATTTCTTCCCCATTACTCTCCCCTGCCCTACCCACTCCCAGCTCCCACATTTAATCCCCCCAACACCTTTGCCTTGTCCATGGGTCCTTTATACTTGTTCCTTAATGACCCTTCCTCTTCTTTTGCCCATTATGCCCCTCGCTGTGCCCCTCTTGGTCACTGTCAGTTTGTTCTTTATTTCCATGTGCCTGGTTCTATTTTGCTTGTTTGTTTTGTTAATTAGGTCCAGTTAACGGTGAGATCATGTCGTATTTGTCTTTCACCACCTGGCTTATTTCACTCAGCATAATACTCTCCAGTTCCATCCATGCTGGCACAAAAGGTAGGAGCTCCTTCCTTCTTTCTGCTGCATAGTATTCCATTGTGTAAATGTACCACAATTTTTTGATCCATTCATTTACTGATAGGTGCTTAGGTTGTTTTCAGCACTTGGCTATTGTAAATTGTGCTGCTTTGAACAGTGGGGTGTATAGGTTCTTTTGAATTGGTGTTTCAGGATTCTTAGGGTATAATCCCAGCAGTGGAGTTGCTGGGTCAAAGGACAGTTCCACTTTTAGTTTTCTGAGGAAATTCCATAGTGTTTTCCAAAGTGGCTGCACCAGTCTGCATTCCCACCAACAGTGCACTAGGGTTTCCTTTTCTCCACAACCTGGCCAGCACTTGTTTGTTGATTTGGTTATGATGGCCATTCTGACTAATGTGAAGCATCCTTTCACATGTCTCTGGGTCCTCTGTATGTCTTCATTGAAGAAGTGTTTATTCAGGTCCTTTTTCCATTTTTTAAATTGGATTGTTTTCTTATTCAGCCATACAACTTATTCAGCCATACAACCATGAATTTTTGTTAGTTTTTTTTGTATTCACCAGACTATGACCTTTGTGCAGTAGTTACTTCTAACTTAGTTTTCTGTTTGTCTTTTCTTTCATCTTTGTTTCTCTAATTCCAAGTCTTTTTTTATATTTTATTTTTTAATTAAAGTTCCCTTTCAATATTATTTTATTTTAGTTTCAGGTATACAGCATAGTGGTTACACAGATACATACTTCCCCTGAGACTTGAAACAAAAGAGAAACAGATTCATAGATAGAACTGACTGATGGTTACTAAGGAATTTGGAAAGAATTAAGGAGTACAGATTGGCAGTTACAAACAGTCACAGTGATGTAAAGTACAGCACTGGGAATACAGTGGACAATACTGTGAAATCTATGTACAATGCCAGGTGGGGAACCAATTCCAGTTCTCATAACATTTCACATATCTTTATAAATTGTATTTGATTACTTTTACAATATGAAGAATAAGTAGAGCTTAAAAGTAAAGGAAAGAATTGTAAGAGGAAGGCAGAAGTAGACAATCTAAGGGGAGTAAGATAAAAGAGTAATTTATGTTGATTGTTCTATCGTATCTTCTTGGATTTCCCATCTGAAAAGTTAAAAGGTTTCCGTTTTTATTTTACATCTTCTAATATAGGACATTGAACTGTAGTATATTTTGCAAAATGTTTTGACATAATTCAACTTAATTTCAGTTAGGAATACTATAAACTTGATTATGTAGTCTGCTAGACTAATGAACTCACCATATATATGTGTGTGGTAGACAGCTTCCACAATGACCCCTAATGATCTCCCCTCACTAGTGTTCATGCCCTCACATAGTCTCCTCCCCTTAAGTATGAGCTGGACTTGCTTCTAACAGAAAACAACAGAAGTGATGGGGTTTCACTTCCAAAGTTAGGTTTTTAAAACGACTGTGGCTTCTGCTTGGGTGTTCTCTCAGCGGGATGGCTTACTCTTGCAGAAGCAGCTGTCTCGTGTGAGGCAGCCCTATGGAGAGGCCCACACAGATGAGCTTGGAAGCAGAGTTCTGAGACCAGCCAGCAACCATGTTGGAAGTGGAAGTGGATTCTACATCAGTCAGGCTTTGAGATGACCACAACCTGGACTCAGGCCTGTTTGCAGCTTCCTAAGTAACGGTAAGTCAGAACCACCCAGGGAAGATGTTTCTGAATTCCTGAGTGACAGGAATTAGGACATAATAAGTATTTGTTTTAAGCTAGGTTAGGCAGCAATAGATCACTAATACATGTTACATCCCAAAGAGCAGTGAATAGCACATTTAAAACTCCCTTCATTCTAAGTGTTCTATTTTGTTGGCTTCATCTAAAGACTGGAAGAGAAATAAATACAAATCTATAAAAATAAGTAGTTTACCAGTAGATCTATTTCTGCATCTTAAGAAATGTTCTACAGATTTTTCACAAAATTTTAGACTGCATTTGGGATCAAATGAATTAAAACACAAGATTCTAAGGCATAAAACAACCTCATTGGAGGGTGGGGCTCTCAGACAGACTCAGTCTCATTCCAGAGCAGCTGAAAGTGAGGTACGAGAAGCCCGTGGAGCTGTCGACCAGGAGACACAGGTTCATGAATTAAAACACTTGGGCCAGAAAAGAACCAACCCTGATGTAAATGAGCACATCACACCCTCGTAATCAGGAGTCACCTTCCTAATCAAGGAGGAAGTTCAGAACTGCAGGCACTGCTCACGATGGAGGTGCTTCTCTCTTACAGCATGCGCCCAGCTGAGTGAGCACTCTATTTAAGAATGGTAAACCACTGCTCCCAAATGAGGGAGAGATGATCTGATACAAAGGAAAATTCAATAAACATTTTTATGCATACTGTGTGTTAAGCACAGAGGCTGGAGGAATTTAGAGTCTGACAGAGAAGTGAGACTTATGTTTTAAAATTAAGGTTATAAAACTTGGACATTGTAGTTTACTATTGCTTCTGTGACAAATTACCACAAATTTAGTAACTTAAAACAACACAAATTATTTTCGTATAGCTCTGGGGGTCAGAAGCCCAGAATGGGTATTTGTGGGCAAGAGTCAAGGTGTTGGCAGGGCCATGTTCCTTGTAGCAGGGCACAGACAGTGTCCTTGCTCTTCGCAGCTTCTAGAAAATGCCCGTGTTCCTTGGCTTGCAGTCCCTTTCTCCACCTTCAAAGTCTGCAGCATAGTGTCTTCAAATCTCCCACTGACTCTTTCATATTTAAAGGACTCTCCTGGTAAATGCTGCCCGCGTAAATAATCCAGGTTACTCTCCTACATTAAGGTTAGCTGATTAACAACCTTAATTTCATCTGTAATTTTAATTCCCCCTGGCCATGTACGATAATGTATTAAATGGTTTTAAGCATTAGGACTTGGACATCTTTAGTGGGTCCATTATTCTGCCTATCACTGATATATTCCTAG